ATAGGGATGCATTACTAGACTTTGTTTCTTCTTTAAGGCAATTGTAGCAACGTGATTGACTTAGAGAAATTATTAAAGATGGAACATGAAATAGCTAAGATTTTGAGCATGATTGAAATGTATTTTTCACCTTCATTCTTTGACATCATGATTCATTTAGCATTTCACTTGATTAAAGAGACAAAGTTACGTGGCCCTGCTTATTTAAAATAGACGTACCTAATAGAGCATTACTTGAAGTTATTAAAATGATATGTAAAAAATTGAATTTGGCCCGAAGGGTGTATTATTGAGAGGCACATTGTGGAAGAAGTAGTTGTATTATACACTAAATATCTCTGTAATGTGGATACCATTGAGTTGTTTAAGTACACAAAGGACACCACAGGTGAACAAGGTGGAACCATTGAGAAAAAACTCATTAACATAGATAAGACATAATGGGAACAAGTTCACTTGTATGTTCTACACAACATTATGAAAGTTCACCTATATATAAAAGAACACAAAGCAACATATCACAACCGACATTTTAGATATTGTTTAAAACTCGTATCTCTAATGAGTCTCACCTATGAGGAAGGTTGAGGTTTTTGGCCAGGGGTCTTGGATTTGAAGTATAATCATAAGAAAATGTTGTTTATGAATTCAAATAAATAATAAATATAATAAACTTAATGTGTAAAATTGAAAAAATATTAATTATTTTAATTTTACCTTATATTAAGGATTGAAAAAAACTTGTGAAGTTTGCCTTTTATTATGAATCGAATGGAGTAATTGTTTCTTAAAATATTATTTGCAATAGAAACTGCCTTATTAATGAAAAACCCCTTTAATTAATATGTTCAATCAATAAGAATTGTTTGAAAAAAAGATTATGAATTTTAGAGACAAGATAGACCCAGATCTTACATTTAGCACCAAAACAAATCCTTCAACTTGATCTTACATCCATCTTCATTGATTGCATTACATGTCTTTGCCTATAGTAGTGCTCTCTAATTGAGCGCTCCCGTCGGACAATTTTTCGTCTACTTTTTAAATGCTTTTTTGTGTATCTACATAGAAGCACTTTTATAAAAGCGCTCCTATATTCCAATAAGAGGGAGATACTTTATAAAGGACTTCGGTATATTTTATAATGCTTGATACGAGAGCACTTCACAAGTGCTTTTGAAGGCTAAAAATAAGCACTCTTGTGAGGTTATTTTGTAATAGTTAGTGTAAATTTGCATGAACTCGCATAACAAATGATTTTGTTTTTTGGTTGAAAGTAATTGAATTTTTCTTGTCACTTGTGGACCTTTTTGTGTTATTTTTCTTTAATTAGCTTGTATATTTTATTTTCCTCTAACACGATTGTAAATCCATATAAACTCTAGTGAATAAATGAACCTTTTGTTATAAGTAATTAGGCTTGTTTGTTATCTTGTAAACCTTCTATTCCTCAATTAACTTATAAATTTTTTTAAGTATAAGTGTGCATGCGCATATAATTGAATTATCACGACAAGTAACTTGCATGCATGTCAACCACTTCATGCAAATTTCCTTTCCCCCTCTGACTGTCTAAAAGAAAAGACATATCTTCAAATTTGCCGAGTTTCGTAATAGTGCTATTTTTCCTCTTTCCATGGACAAAACGTCCAAGCATCTTTTTAAATTCTTCAACTATGAAAACTTTAATTTAATTTAGTCCTTCTTTCCCGAACAAGAATTATAAAATATGAATATCAAGGCACATAATGGGATCTTGATTTCCAGATTCAAAACCATAATTTAAATTTTTGAAAATCAGAAAATCATTCAAAGGAAAATTGAAATTAATATATACTTCTCTGTCAAGTGGAATGGAGGAGACTTCACTGGGATGCAAGTGGACAAATGAAATTTTCTTCAATAGGCAATAACTCTTGAGATTGTTAAAAAATCTAATAGATAATTTGATTCAAATTATGTCCGAAAACACCATCCCTTATAGTTATTTTGCAACATAGGTTAAATGTAACAATTCTTTATGATTAAACGAACCTTTCATTAAAAAAAATAGCGTAACAAAACAAAATAAATATACAAACAAGAAAGAGCTCAAGAGAGAGAAGAGAAATGTTTGAAAGCTTAAGAGCACTAGACTCATAACATGCACGCACTATACATGCACCATCTTTAAATGCATGTGAATGTTGGGCACCATTGAAATTTTTTTAAAGTTTTTAAACGTTGGATCATTGAATTTGGATTAAGAAATTCATCATTGAGCACTTACAAATTTTTAAAGGCTGGAACATTGAATCTAGATTAAAAATTCTGTTAATTTCTAATCACTAATTGTGCTCCAAAGTCCAGACAAGATAATAAGACCCTTTTTTTTTGGTGAAAAATAATAAGACACTTTAATGTTTCATAATCACAACATTTCAAACTCCAAAATAGAAAATATCAAAGCTTTTCTGGTAAAGTATTTCAAATAAATAATTTTAAAGTTTGTAAAAATATTTCTAGAAAAAGAACTCAATACAACACGTTATTCACGCGCAACGTGCATGCGAACCCATTTATTTTCTCAGCCCATTTCTTTTGCCAAAATTTTCATCTTGGTGTGTGTGTGTGTGTGTGTGTAAGGTTTCTTCAATTTGCGAAAATGTGAGACTTTTTTAACACGTATGAGTACACAACTATAACAGATGAAACATTATTTTGGCATGTCACACAAGGTTTAATGGGAAAATTTGAGAGATTAAACTATGGGTTGATCCATGTAATTAGACGACAAATAAACCACACTATCCAATTTTTAGTTAAAGTGCATTGCATATATATTTAATATTATTTATAAATCACTTCTAACTATTTCACCAAATTAACTATTGTCTAAATATTTTTTTGCAATTTATATTTATTAAATATATTATCTTTTAAAACATTTTATCTTTCTAATAAATTTTTTCTTTCTACTAATTGAAAATTGTAAAAGAATAAAATTAAAAGAAAGTAGTCAATGATTCGCTTTTTTTAATGCAAAGTGACCTGATCATGAATTTGTTTTTGTTTTTTTGTAAGAAATAACTTGTATATAAGATTGAAAGGAGTGTATATATTTGTATCTTATAGATAGGACATGAAGATATCATGTTGATGCACTTTCTTATTTATTATACTTTTTTCAACCAACATGCTGATGCACGTTGAAGGAAGAAAACCCATCAAACAGCTTTTCAACACAAGAAAGAGGAGGGACCATACGACGATTGTTAATAAAATTGAATATTTTGGGAAAATGAAATAATATATAAATGATAATGAGATTTTTGGAGTGTGATAATTTTTTCTAAATTTACTGAAACCTTTCTGATATTTATATTTTTTAATAAAATAACTATAATAAAAAATAAAAAAGAAATGCACCAGTGATTACAAAAATTTCATTGCAAAGCTTGTCATTTGACATATTTATAATTGTTAAATTTTTAAGTTGACTCTTTAAATTTAACGTTTTTACATTTTTAGATTATAAAATTATCTTATCTAACTCATAAACTCAAATTAAATATAAATCTGATTAAACTTGTGAGTTTACCTCTGAATTTATTGTTTTTATATTTCTAATTAATAAAATCATGTTAACAATTTATAAACTCGAACTCGATATGAGCTTGGTTAAACTTATAAAGCTTATCAATTTTTTTTTTTAAGTTGAGTGAGTTAAGTATATACTATGAAGAATTTTGTTCATGAAAGTTATAGGATTTAGTTCAAAAAAAAACTTAAAATGTAAAAAATAATATTAATAAAAAAGAAAATAAAAATATCAAAAATAAGGTCCCCTATTTTAAAATTTTTGTTTTGTATATGATAATTTATTAATGTAGATAAGTTTAATTTCAATTATTTATATTTTTTAATATATTTAATTAAATTACATGTTTTAATTGCTATTTGTTAATAAAGGTAAATTCTCATGAGTTTACAATATAAATTTATATTCTTATCATGAGTTTACTTAAATTTACAAGTTTAACAACCTTAGATATATCATTTTAATGATTGCAAAAAAACTAATTATTATTTAAATCAAAGTAGTAATTGACATTTGTAACATTTAAATTTTAGTAATTAAAAAAATTGTAAAGGAGAAGTTGTTATTACTTATCCTGTTCTAGTTGTTGCTAAAAAATAATCATTATTTAAATTAAAATAGTTATTAATACTTATGATTGGACTTCATTGATTAAAAATTTGCATAACGAAATGTGTTTTTTGCCATTTTATTTTGGTTATTGTTAGAAAAAAAATAATTATTATTTAAATCAAAGTAGTTACTAACATTTTAAATTGGGATTACTATAGTCATTTCACAAATGACATCAATGTTAGAAAGGTACCAATGACTTATAAAAAATTATACTATCTTTATGCCAAATTATAAAATATTTTTAAATAAAATTAAACATACCAAGAGTGCTTATTAAATATAATTTATAATTTTATTTTTTTAAAATAAAAATATAAACATTTAAAATCACTCTTCATTTAATACTCCATTTATAAAAAAATATCAAATAAATAGAATATATAGAACGGATATTATTGAAAAATATCATTAATAAAATTTTATTTTTATTAACTTATCTTATATTTTAAAATATAAATTTTTTTTAAAAATATTTTATAATGTAATGAGTTGATTTTATAAGATTTCATTATTATTGTATATTTCATAAAAAATTTTCTGTCATTTTTCCCTCTTTCAGTTTCAATCCTGGCAATTACTGAAGCGAAAGAAACAGCCGACCAGAAATCCCTAATTTGTACCCTATTTTGTATTTTCCTTTGCGGGTTAATGGAGCAGTGATGATTCCACCTGGCTAGTGACTCACCCAACTCTTGAGCCATCTTCCACGCCACTCCTTTTCCTTCATTTTCTCTCACCTGATTGGACTGTCACGCTGTTTCGGTGACTTTCTTCATTTTTTATTGCCACATTTTGAGACTTTTCCCCCTTTCCATCCTCAAAAACAACGCACGAAATTCGTGTTTGTGTAAATTCAAAGCAAGCCCCCTTGATAGTTCGTAATTATATCGCACATCCCCCCTTCTCTCGTGTGTCAATGCATATTCCTCGCATATATCTCGGAATTTAGACTCCGATTCATGTAAAACAAACAGAGCACATTCGAATTCGAATCTGATTTGTCCGTGCATATCCTTTGGCTCCGAAATCAAACTATTATCTCTCGAAGGAAATTGAGCTGGTTGAACTTGGGCGTCGTCTGCTGCAGATCAAACCGAGTTTTCGGTCCAACGCTCGGTTTGGACTCGATTTAGGTGGATCATTGCTGATTTCTGGTTCCTCAACTTAGAAGTTTGGTCCTGATTGCATGTATTTTTCTTTTGGTTTTTGCGTCACCATCATCCTGGAGCTAGATCTGAGCTTTGCATATTCATATATTTGTTTCCGATATGGGATCTTTAGCATGTTTCGTGATTTGTTTTTACTTTCGTGTTTGAAGGATTGTTTCAAATTTCCCGGAACAAGATCTGATGGAATTTCATAGTGCAGCTTTCATTTGTTTATGGATTTAGCGTGCGGATTTTCTTAAATCACTGAATTAGTTGCTTGCAAAGTGGAGTGGGAAAAATGAATTCATCTGCTTTCCTGGTGTATTAAGATTGCATGGTTAGCTGATCTTATGGTTATGCAGTTTATAGTTTTGGAAAACAAGGATGGCCGTGGATTGTCAAACATAACTGCTTCAGTGGTCGTCTTTTATGAATTATGGTTGTTGTTATCCAGACTTTTTTAATTTTATCTTTGTAGATCCTATTGTTCATACCCAGCCAGTGGTTGCAATCACATGAAGAACGGGATGATAGAATGCAGTGTATGCCATTCAAAATTGGTTTCTCCTAGTGCCAGAACTATATCACGGGCTTATGACAAGCACAAAAGTAGGATATCATCCAAGCAGCGTGCCCTTAATGTCCTCCTGGTTGTTGGTGACTGCATCTTAGTTGGCTTACAGGTGATTGTTACCTTTTAATTGAAATTTTTTTGTCAAATGCTGAAGAAGAGGCGCGGAAAAAAATCACATTCAATTTTGAAAATTTGCATGTGAGTACAGTGAACCTTTACAGCGCATGTTTGGTGATTGTTGTGAAACCAAACACGATTGAATTGCTTGCGGATTGTTGTAAATTGTTGCATAAGAATATTCAAGACGCCTTATAGTGTTAGGTCAAGGGTACTATGTTTAGATTATTTTGTTTCTATGGGTATGGAAAATAAAAAAAAAAATTATTCCTCCATGTTTTTTGGCTGAGGGCTAATTGAATTTGATATTCTTGAGGCTTATCTATAATTAGTTTTGCTGTTTGTCTATGCATGTGGCAGGGATAGTTAGCATTTTTCAAAGTCTTATCTTGCATGGACATTGGTTATTTTTTGGGGCTATGGCATAGTCATTGATTTTTTTTGGGACCAGAACATAGTCATCGAATTGAATATTACTTAATAAGTAAAATTGCGATTGCTTAGCCTGATGGGTAATTTATCATCTTATTCTCTCTCTTTTCTGGAAAATAAGCTCTTTAATGCTTGGCTGGTGTCTCTCTTAGTTTTAGTGTTTGAATGTGTGTTTTATTTGATGGTTCCTATTTTTTATCATCTCATCATAGTAGAGGAGAAAAAGAACCTGCTTATTGCAAGTCACTGACACGTTTTATTTTCTTTATGTGGCAGCCTATTCTTGTTTATATGTCCAAGGTGGATGGGAAATTCAATTTTAGCCCAATCAGTGTTAATTTTTTGACAGAGCTCACGAAGGTTCTGTTTGCTATTGTTATGCTTTTATTCCAGGTACATATTACATTTCCCTATTTTTTATCCAAGTGTATTCAGTCTTCTTAATCTTGCATTATGTGTTACTTATATTTGAAGCATGTGTGAAATAAGATAAGATCAACACTGTGGGGGTAGGGATCAAGTGGCAAATAAGTGGCTATTGATTTCTGGAAAATCATTATCAATATCAGCAATATCATGTATAAATCATAAAATGTAAAATCTATGCAAGCCACACCAAGCAGAAGCCATGAATAGTGGAATCATTCTTAAGATTTTGTGAAATGCATGGGCCCAATTTCTAGTTAGGATATTAAGTTTGGTAATTCTGGGACAGATTTATGCAAGAATTTTTAGGGTGGGTTAGAAGCAAGGACCCATTCAATATTTTTAATCCTGGAAATAAGGATTAAAAAACCACAAAGTGTGGTTTTCCTAGTTTGATATTTGAACTGGATGGCCAAACTTCATAGTTATTTAGTCCTTCAGAGTAGAAAAAGCAGCTACACCTAATTAAGTATTTATTATTCTCTATTTTAGTGTTTGTCGAAGAAAAATGAGTGTTGGAGGCTGAAGATTTGAATGGAAACAAATTTAGAAGTCATGGAATCAATGAGTTCGTCTAGGCTTTACTTACGTCTTGGAATGATAAACATAAGCAATTATCTAGGATTGATTACTTGGCACATCCTAGAAAAGATTGATCTTGAATCTGGTGATAAAAACCATAAGATTGATCATTGTTCTGGAGGGGTTGGGAATGGAGTTGTTATGACCCTATATGCTCAATGCCTTAATCTTTGCAATAAAAGTAAACTACAAGGACCATTTAGCATTGACCCAGTAAAACTAAAAAACTTGAAATTTGAGCCCGAAAAAAGTCCTTAACTGTGGGCTGCAAAATCAAATTAAACACTTCATATGTTTTTACCAAAATACCCATATGACCGAGTGATATACTAAAATAATAGTGGCATGAATTGGTAGTTTTCAACTTCCTACTGATACTAGCCTATTGAAAAACGCTTCTATTTTAATTTTTAAATTAGGAACCAGTAATTCCTTAAGAACAAACTCAAGCCCAAACACATGCAGCAATTATCAATGAACTATTGCAGGTTTATTGATATATCCTAGGACAGGTAAACTGAATCAAAGCAGCATTTCTTGGCAGCTTACCAAATGTAAATTCAAAATGTTCCTGATCTAATAAAGTTCATAGAATATTACAATGTATGCCAATATCAAAGTAGAACTAGCACAATTAAATTTTTTGATCTTTGTGCCTCTTCTTTCCCCGATTCTCTTAATAAATTGGCCAGTATGTTTGTGTGTTTTGCAGTCCAGGCATAAAAAAGTTGGGGAGAAGCCTCTTCTCTCAATTTCTACGTTTGTGCAGGTACTATCTTATCATTGATATAGAAGATTTTGCATTATTAATTTTGTGCGAGTGGAAGGATTTGTGAAGTCCTTCTCTTAGTTCAGTTGTTCCCACTTTTTTCAATGTTTTGTCACATGTGATTATTTTGTTGTGCGCAAAGCAAACTGCGTGAGCATGTCTTTTTTAAAATAAAATAATAATTAAATGAATTATTTTTTTTGGGGTACAATAGTATCGCATTTTGCTACTCTTACCTTTGATCCTAGACAATTTTTCTTGGATAATGGATGTTTAATGGAGTTAGTAGAACTGATGCAAATAAAGGACATCTTAAAATGTAGCAGTGCTTCATTTCCTGAGTCTTTTTTAGAAAACAGAGGACCTTCTGATCGTTTACTCTACTGGCATTAATATTTAATTACCTTTTTTTTTTTTATCACCAAACAAGAAGATTTTTTTAGTAGTTATCGGATGTGTTATAATCTTGTTATTTGCAGGCAGCTCGTAACAATGTTCTTCTTGCTGTTCCCGCCCTTCTTTATGCTATAAACAACTACCTGAAGTTTATTATGCAGGTACTCTTAGTCCTTGGTACACTAATATCACTTCTTTATGCATCAACAAATTAATTTCCTGTCATTGCGAACACTTGAATGTCTCATAAAGCTACCCAATCCCTAGGTATATTAGACAAAGAATTGTTACAGAAAGCCATGAGCAGGGCATCAGAGGGAGGTGACAAATTAAACCCTACCCCATGCTAAATCCAAGGGTGTAGAGATCCCTAGAAAATATGGCATTATCATTATGTTCTAACTGAATATGTTGATGACCTCTAAGCCAGAAGAAATTGTTTGGAAACTACTGCCGCACAAACGAGCCTTAGCTTGTTGATGGAATTGTAATCTAACTGATGATGTTACAACTACCTGTCTTGTGCAAATGAATGGAGTTCTTTCTAATATGACGTGGTTTCTTGTCTGTTCCTGTGTTAATTTGACTTTTTGGGTGTCCTACAATATCTATATTTCTAAAGAAGAAAAGTTGAGTGTTGAGCCATGTTACCGTACTATCCTGCTATAGTCACATTTTATGCCTTGAAAACAACTCTTGCATGTTGGACTTCAAATTTCTTGCTGTCTGACAGGTTGATATCACATTTCATGCAGCTTTATTTTAACCCTGCTACTGTGAAGATGCTAAGCAATTTGAAGGTAATTTGTCACTTGCTGTGCTTTTGGGCGGTACATTTGCATCACCAGTAATGGTTTACTGAGTTTGCTCATTGTGCTTCTTTGGTGATGGGGTGCTGATGCTTCTCATTGCAGTGTTGAAATTATCGTGCAGTGTACATTGTTGACTAGATAGTGACTGATGCTTTGTCTTGTATCTTGACCTCTCAATTGAGGATTTCACACTGCTTTGACTCACTGACTACCTTTCATTCAAGGGGTTACATGAAAAGAAGAGAGGAAACCCTTTAAATGAAATATGGTCATTGAGTCTGACTGCATGAAGTCCTCTCTTTATAGTTCAAGATACAAGGTATTTAAAGCTTTATTATGACTAATTAAGGACTGCCTGATTACAGCCTAAACAGTCACTACCTCTTCAGCATATTTACACTGTTCAGTAATTCCAGTTGTTAACTATTTGTTCAAAAGGAATTTGTTACACTACTCTTCTATTATATCCTCTTTTTTTCTTCCTTCTTTATTCTTTCTTCCATTTCTTAGCGTGGCCTAACATTAGCTTCACTTTTTGGGGACACTATGATAAAAGTATTGCATTTACCTGTCCCTCACATATTTCCCCTCTTGTTTGGCTCTTCCCTATGAGGATATAAAATGCTTTAATTTGTTGAGCAACTGTGTGCTGGAGGGTTTTAGGGGGATGCATTTGGCATGTACTGTTATAGAAGCAGTACTGATCCCTTTCTGTGATCTCATTTATTTGGACTGTGGTATATTACGTGAACAACTAATACATTCCTTTTGTGAGACCAGGCATTAGTTGTCTCTCTGACAATTATTCTTCAAAACCAGTTGAAAAATCATTTTCTCGATGATTCTCTTTCATTGACCTAATTTCTCATCTTTGACTTTGCATGTGCAGGTTCTAGTGATAGCAATTTTGTTAAAGATGATTATGAGACGTCGCTTTTCCGTTATTCAGGTGTGTTTAGCCCATTGTCTTGCAAATATGAATAAGGCACAGTGTGTCTGTGTAGCCATTATTTAGATCTTTGCTGTTGAATTGACAAGTTTTAACTTTTAATCCTTGCTTGAATCCCAGTTGAGCTTAATCCTTGAGTACCACACTTATCTGCAAAACTGATTCATTATTTCACTACAGTGGGAGGCTCTTGCTCTGTTGCTTATTGGTATAAGTGTTAATCAGCTGAAATCTTTACCTGAAGGAACTACAGCTTTGGGTCTTCCCATCACTATGGGTGCATATGTTTATACATGTATATTTGTAAGTATAATAATTCTCTGTTCTTTGGCTGTTCTATATCTGATTGTTGTGCAAGAGATTTTTAAAGTAAACACAGCCAGCTTGCAGTTTTAGATATTCAGTTTCCGTTCATTTTTTGTTGTTGGTTTCTGAACCAAGGAATTATTTTGCAGGTAACTGTTCCATCATTGGCCTCTGTTTATAATGAATATGCGTTGAAGAGCCAATATGATACTAGCATTTACCTCCAGGTGAAGTTTCTAACGTTCTTGTGATTTTACCATGTGCTGATTTAGACACGACAGTCCTTGAGAGAGTTGAAAATTGTGTTGCTGCATGAGTGTAAACTTTTATCCAATTCTCTAGCTGAATGGTCTGCAAAATAATCAGTACTTTTTTTTTTCCCTTTTTCATGGTCAACAGTTTAACAATTTTCCTGTTTTGATTGTTTAAATCCTTTCAATATTTTTGAATGCCCTGATTAGTCGTGAAGTGTAGTGCAGTACATATCTTAATTGTGCGTAACTAATTATAGCCTTAGCCATTGGGGTTTGACTTCAGTGGTTAGGTTGGCTGATGGTTTGCGGATATGTGTTGGTTCTGGGTTAAGTTTCAGCACTTTGCAATGGACCAGAGAAGGGGAAAAATCCTAAGCAAAACTGAGAAAGAAACTAACAAGATGCTTAACTTACTAACTGAAAAATTATGGGCAACTTAAAATGAGGAAAGTTTCAATTATAGCACTTGATTCTACCATTGTACTCTCCCTATATTAATTTAGAGTTTCTTGATTTGCAGAACTTGTTCTTATATGGGTATGGAGCTATATTCAACTTCCTCGGAATAGTTGGCACTGCCATTGTCAAGGGTGAGACATGAATCTCTATCTTCTGGATCCTGGGGGAACTTCAAGCAAGTGGCTTAGCAATTAAGAAAACAGACTGGAAGCACATCTCTCTTTGTTATATCAAGATCTTTTTTATATTTTTTAATAACAAACTACTTTAAATTTACACATAACAGATGAAACATTGACATCATTTTGAATTTCAGCTAATTCGAATGGAGCCAGGTTTATTGCTTTTATCTGATGCTGAAATAACTGTTGATCGGTCCTCATGATGTTGCTTTAATTGTTTCAGGTCCAAGTAGCTTTGATATTCTGCAAGGTCATTCAAAAGCCACCATGCTTTTGATAGCCAACAATGCTGCCCAGGGGATTCTATCATCATTTTTCTTTAAATATGCAGGTCAATAGTTATGTTTTTATCATATATTGGTTTCCACCGAAACCTAAAAGCAAATCACTGGTTTATCTTAAATTTACATTGTGCTGTATAATTGAGCTTTTATTTGTTTTTTTTCCTGAATAACCCACTTATGTCTTCAGATACAATTTTGAAGAAGTACTCCTCAACAGTTGCAACAATCTTCACTGGCATAGCTTCTGCTGCATTATTCGGACATACTTTAACAATGAACTTTATTTTAGGGATTTCTATTGTCTTCATCTCAATGCACCAGGTAAATTAAATTTGGAGGATTTTGCAAATAAATAAAATTGCTAGTTATAAACCTTTTTTAGAAAGAACAGTTCTAACAATGACATCTTTTTGTATTACATTTTTACGTTTTGTCTATAGTTCTTTTCACCTCTATCAAAAGTCCGAGATGATCAACAAAATGGTTTGATGGAACTGCGTGATGTTCATGACGCACACAGGTAATTGTGAATTTCTTTACTCATTGGCTGATTGCAACGTTGCTTTGTACGAGGCAACGTCATATGATTAATTTTTCCGGCAAGAGTTTGTTTTCTTTTTCCAGTTTCTGAAAGGTTTAGTGCATTGGATTATAGAGGGGATTTAATATAATGAAACTTTTGGAAGAAATCCCTTTTCCTTCTTCCTTTGAAGTTACAAATGTTTCATTTTTATTCCAGGACTAAGGAATCCTTTGTCAACATGGCTGCTGGAGCAAATGAAGAGGTGAAGATCTATGTTCACCTTCCTTTTCGTTTGGGTTTTTTACATTATACTCATTTAGGTTTTGTTGTTGTTGTACTTGTGTACAGGCTAGTCATCGTGTCGGGCATGACGAGAGACAGCCACTTCTTCCCACCTAAGACTGACCCACAGTATGTTTTCCTGCTTCTATATTATTTGCTTCCTTCAAATCCTAGTTGTTTAATTTTGTGGGTACTTAATAAAGTTGCTTGACCTGATGAATGGTTTTGGTTTCCTATAATCAGTTTTGTGCTTAATAGGATTATTTGATGTTGTTTCATTATGTAGCATAACGGCTATGCGCTCTGGGAATGAATGAGTTCTTTTCTGACTTATGTATTGTTGCAGAATCTTACTGAGGAAATTTTTTTGGTGATATTTATCGGCGGTAGCAATGGTGCAAACATTTTTACGTCAAAATAAAGCAAAAGTATTACTAGAGAACTGCATGAATCTTCAGAAGCTGATGAGCAGTTCAGGACTTCTGATACGGACATAGGAAACGGCTTCGTACTTTTTGGCGCATATGCTCTATTCTTTTTGTCTAAGACCTTTCATTTTATTTTTTTTCTTATTTTACTTTTTTTTTTCTTTTAATGTTCACTTTAGCCTCTTTAATGTGTTATTCTTTTAAACCATTTACGAATTAATAATGATTTTGGTCTTTCTTTTTATATGAGACAACGGTTGAAGACAAGACGTGACTACAGCCTTTTGTTGTATGTAGGAAACATTTTACAGATATCTTTATAGTACTGTCTGCTACCTTCTAAGCTTAAGGTCACCCTCACGCATTTACGCTTGCCGAGCTTGTTTTCTTTTTTCATATTTTTTATTATATTTTCAATTTTGTATTATCTAATCATGCCGGTTCTCAATGTAGGATATTTTTTGTAACTTATTATTAGTCTAAAATATAGGATTTTTTGTAGCGTTGAGGAATATTTATTTTCATCTTTGCCCATATTGGTTAATGTGTACTAGATAATTATGCATAGAAAATTGCTAGCGTAGACAAGAATAAACCTGAAAAATAAGCTCACTTTTTTTGAGATTTAATAATATATTCTCAATGTCCATAATGAATTGTGAAAGTGTTTTGTATTGTGAATCAATAAGAATTCAGAATGAAGTATTTATAAAAGTAGTCCATAGAAAGTTTTTACTTAAAAAAATAATGGTCTATAGAAAGTTATATTGTAAATCATAAATAGAATAACACACTTTCAAAATTCTATTATAAACACGAGATGTTCACCCATAGAACAGTAAAAACTGATTAAAAAAAAGAGAAAAACTTGATACTTGCATTACGTTTTATAATTTGTTTGGATGAAAATTACTTGTTATATTTTAATCATTAGAGATAAATGTAGATCCCATCCGAATGACGTGACATGATTAAATTATCCCACTGAGAGCCATTTCTTCCCAAGGGAACCCTATGAGCTTTATTGAGGCTACTATCAAACAAATAAGCTACCTAAACAATCGAATGAACTACATATTTTTAAAAGAATACAAATTGCAGCAAATATATTTATTCAAGTTCAGAGAATTCTGTCTTCAAGTTGATGATCGCTGCAGCAATTTTGCAAATGCATCTGCACAGAAGAAAAGAACAGACAGAAATTAGTAAAGAAATCAAACATGAGCCGGAAAAGTGGCTTGCATTGTATGCATGATTTTACATTCCCAATCAGGAAGAAGAGCTAACAGAAAACATTAGCTTAACACCATGCAGAGTATGGTTCAGTGTACACGGAAAGTTCACAATAAAAGAAAACCCAAAATATATGCTTGGCAAAAAGAAAGATAATTTTAAATAAGCAATTTAAGTGCCTCCCGATAACACCAATAGCTAGGGAAATTCCTTCAGAGCACTTTCTGCTGTTAAGTTCAGTTGCCGTTATTACTACCGTAAATCTTTTATCGTGATTTGAGTTGAAAAGACAGAGAAACAGATCCGCACCAAACCAAGGGCTTCCCTTGCAGTTTTATGACTTCCCTCACCACAAACTTCTGCAAAAATATCCATAAGGTGTTTTCTTTGTTCTAATTTCAAGTGTTTCTCCAAGCCCCGAGCTACCATCTCCATTTCTGGCTGCAGAAACCCACCCACAAAAAATGTTATTAGCATTACAACACATGTTTCACACTTTCACTGTCAATGCCCCAAAAGTAGATTCTGAAAGGGTGAACCATGGCCTACTTATTTGCAGACATGAACAGCATAATAGTTATTAAAACAGCTCCCGAAATAAAAAAAAAAAAAAAAAGGTCCTGGGTACCTCAGCAGCACAGAAGCGTGAAACGAGTTTGCAAGGATGAATAACATCGCAAATTTTTTTTCTAAGTCAATGAATGAGCCTTAACTAATTCGTCTCTAAAAAAGCAATTCATTTGATGTAGGGACTTAAAAACAGGAAAAGAAAAAATGCAATATATCATCATGATTAGGAGCAAACTGATAATAAGCCTTGCAAAACCGTTATTGTCTGAGGTTATGGCACATAGATTATGAAATCTTTAACTTACGTAAAATATCGCCATACATTCACTCAAATACCCTCATTTAAGAGAGGCATGGAGAAATAAGATTACTAGAAGAGAATCTCCTTTTGTTTCAAAACAAAAGATTATCAGAAGAGAAAAATAATAGCTGGAATTAAGTTTCAATAAAATGTAATAATTATTAAATGAGAATACAATTGTAAAAATAAAATAAAATCCCTTGGATTTCTAAAACAACAAAATTTGAAACAAAACAAAAGCCTAAAACAAGTAAACAACAATAGTTTTTGGAATGGATATCACTAAGCTCAAACTAATATCTAAACATTGATAATTAAACTTAGATTACCCAAATTAAAGTAACAAACCTTAATTCTGAAATCAAGAGGTACCAAGCACCAGCCGAGTAACACAACTGACTAAATTATATAGAAGATAAATGCTTTTAAAAATATAATCTCACAAGGAACACCCCAAAAAATCTTAACAAGGAATGATTATGGGGGGCACCCAAAAGATTAATATATTCTAAGAACACTTTCCCCGAAAAAAAAAAAAAATCAGTATTGAAGACGCTTACTGAGGAATCCTCAGGAGGAAATATGCGCAGAAGAAGGCATATCTGTGACAGTTCCAGCTTAGCTTCATCATGTTTACCTTGCATTTCCAGAGCCTGTAATTAAAAGGACACCGAGCATAAGCATGAAGATAAAAAGAAGATCCATACAAATTATCTAGAAATGAGAAGGTTTGAAAGTTCAAATATTCAAGCATGAGTCTTTTGGCAAAAATACATTTGGCTTTCTATAAGCCAACAATTACATTTGAAATTTTCAACATGTGGCAGATTTAAACTAGCATCCTCCTCTATCTGCGTGATTTTTCATGAAACATTTACCAAAATTCAAAATGTATGGCAGACTCTAGGTCATAATTCTAGCCTTATCTGAAGTCTTTGTTTTGGGTTCTTGAATTATTTGAGCAGGGAAATTGACTAAGTAAAGGAGCTGAAATATAATAAAGAACCCTTTCATGAACCAGAAATTTACTCCAGAGCTTTGCCTAAAAATTGTCTACACTGTTAGTATCATGGTCATGAATATTTATAAATAATTTTCTGAAGCAGCATCTTCTAGAGACTTGTAGTTGAGACTTTTGATGTTCATCCTTACTTCGCTGTTTATTTTTCTGCGCCATTAAAATTTATTTCTAAAAAGATTGAATCACAAGGAAAAAATTAGATATATTAAAAAGTGGAAAGATTGAGTTAATCCATAGATTAAGCATAAATATTATTAGAGTCGATGCAAAACTTTTTGTTTCAACCAGCAAAAAGAAATCACTAACATGTGCATTAAGAGTACTCAAACGAATGAAGAAATTAATAAAGCAAAATGATATATAGTTCACTTTGTATCAATTATAAAAGAAAAGGAAAGTGACCTTAAAGAATTCACAGATTTTTAGACATTTATTTTCCTCATCACAAGCTTTTGTGATTTACAAGATGTCACAAATATGAGATATTAACTGCTTTTGCCAATTATTAATTTTGGAAATGAGCTTTGCCTGAGATTCACATAGAAACAAAAACAATATTTTTTTTTGAACAGAAACGAGAACAATATTACATCACAAGAATTATGGCAATAAAGTACCCAGGCCTGCAGAAGACAAGAGCGAGTACGTGCAGCAACAGCTGCAGACACAATTGTTGCAGCGCGACTATTTTCAAGCCCAATGTTTCCAGCAAAACCAGCAAGAAATTCCCGAGAATCCTCATCATTAATCTCAATGGAGTTAGAGTTACTTGGTGCCCTGAAAAGACAAAGTAACCAGTAATTGCATAATTTACAGAAACAGGACTGATCAGCATAGATAAAAGATGACTAACAGCAGAAGGGAAGAGGATGTCATGAATGCAGGAGTAATATTATACAAAAGTACCTGCCACAAGCATTCAAAACAAATTCAACAGATGCTCGATATAAGGAATCCCGTATGTTTGGTGGGTCAATAGATACTTGCACACCAGAAGTTCTGCAAATTTGCCGTAACTGCAAGGCAAAGAAGATAATGCACAAAAGCATTTCATCAGATATGGCTCAAAAATATTAACGGTAGAGATAACAAAAACTAGAATATCAATAAAAGAACTGATAAGAATTTGAAGTTAAATTTGTTCTTTTGTATAAAGAGAATGTTAGTGATATATATTACAAACCACGAGTAGAGAATTTGGATTGCTCACAACTCATATTTGCATGAACATATTAATTCACATTAATGCTTCCATGCATATTCCAGAATGAAATCCTTAGTGCCTAGAAGGGTTTCGGATATTTAACTACTGAAAAGAATGTAAGCAGTACAACATACAAATTAACTCATATTAAACCTAAGCTGCCAAATACACGGCAGATTTTTTATTTCAATCACATTAATGCTTGGCATGCATATTCAAGAATGAAATTCCCAGCGCCTAGTAAGCCTATAGCTAATTAAATAAACACAAAGAGTGCCATTATTGGCACAAGGCAGTACTGCATACATGTTAACTCAGATTAAGTCTCAGCTGCCTCATACAGGCCAGATTTTTTCCTTCAATAAAGGACCACATGAGTCCTACTAACTTGAGATAGTGTGAGCACCGCAAATGCATGATGTCGAAGAGCATTTTTTTCAAATAAAAAAGGAAACAAAAGTAGTTTCCAAAAGCAACAAACTACTTTCAAAAGAACATTAGCTAATGGTAACTTTTAAGAAGCCGTAATTGAAGAGTTTATCAAATACCAAAAGACAAACCTCAAATGGAAGAATAACATAAATAAGACAACATAATTCCTAACCTAGAAAAAAGATACTACGTGCAGATACATACGTCATATGAAAATCAAGTAAATCACTAGAACACTGACTTGAATTATCTCGTCCTCCATGATGTCCTTTCCGCTCATTCTACTATCCTTGATTGCTGGAAATTAAGTGAATAAGTAGCAACTTCGATTTAAAGGAGAGCAAAGTATGAAAATCAGGAATACTTTTTTTTACCTACAAAAAAGAAGAGTCTACATATAAAATCATATTTTAACCAGATATAGCAAAAAGAAATTTACAGAACAGACAGAATACTACTTGTCAAAGCTATTATCCAATTGAGATAACTGAAGCTGCTTTCTGGGATTGATGTAACTATCTCTTACCATCTCACATAAAAAAAAAACTCATTATTTACAACGTCACTTCAAAGTTTTTTAGCAAATAACAAGCTCACTCTAATATGACCATCATACATATTTCTCTACAACTAATAACAACCGAAACATAGTTCAAGGACACCCTTGTCATTTGCCTTTGTAATTTTTTACTCTTCTGGTGATTTTTTTTCCAACTTGAAACTATATAAGCATAGCAACAAATTGCACGGACATATGGTAAAATGGATATGTGGGGGTATGTGTGTGTACATTACAGACAAAAAAATGGGCAGAGAAAGGAGAGCAAGTGGACTTTTTGGAACAACTAACACGTCTTAATCTAATTCCAGAAGCTTTGCGACAGACAAAGCATTACTTCAAAAAGCTCCCTAAGGAGATAACATCAGATTTAATAATAAAAACGCTGGAACTCAGAAAACGGTGCATACAAAAGCAGAATCGCATCAATATGCTCCATAAATGACCCATCAGACTGATAATAAAAAGAATGAGAGAAACGGACCATGGGATATACAAAACAGAAGATACAGCTTGTAAATCAAAAGAAGTGGTCGTGTTGTTATGATGCTCTAATTATATATGAAACGACTGCTAACACAGAATTTCCCAATTCATGCAGCTTATCAAAGTCCTCGACCAATTTAGATATGTTTGAGATTGCTAGCTTAAGATTTCTGTGTACTATGCGAACTGCCGATCCTGCAATGAGAGAAATGAGGTTGTCAGACCAAACCTCGAACTAGTCTGTATGCATCCCTTTTATATTCCTGCTCGTCCTCCATCGAGATGGCACGCGTTACTAGAGTTGGCCACCACCGGGGCAATTTCCCTTCAACCCGTGCTCTAGTCTTAGCAGCTCTCTTCGGAATGCTGCCCATCAGAGGCCCCAGAGGCGGCGATAACGGATTCGCTGAGACCCTCGAGGGAGAGTTGTTCCTGCCAACAATGACCTCTTTTCCCCCAAGACTCCGGTCCCTCCGAACCAAGGGAGCGTAGCCAGATGCATTTCGACCACAAAGCCGAAACCGAGAAACTGACTTGATCAAAGCCCTCAAAACAGAAATCGAGACGAAGCTGAGAACCGCTGAAGTGGCAAAGAAATGCAGCGTAGGAGGGCGACAGGAAAGCACAACTCTACGGTTTTCATCGATGATGATTAAGGTTTGTAAATCCCTACAGGCTTCAATACCGGACGAAACGAAATGGGTGAGATTGGATTCGAAAGAAGGGAAAAGAGCGCGGAAAGAGGAGGAGGCTTGGGCAGTCAGGTGGTTAAGGTCGATGACAGTTTGAAGCTTGTCGGAATCGGAGGAGGATTTGGTGGAGATGGAAGTGGGAAGGTTGGTGAGGTTCTTGAGCCTTCGGCGAGAACGAGGGCGGGGGCGGAAGCAGCGAGAGACAACGGGGGATTGGAGACGACACAGAGGGATGGAGGGAGGGAGGGCATGTTGGGAGGAAGAAAAAGAGGGAGAGGAGGACATGTAGATTGCTTGCTGGGTCGGCCAACCTTAACCGAAACCAGAAGTGCGTCGTCTTTCTTATCATCGAAGAATCAAAAGAGTCTACTCCGCGCGAAAAAGACAACCCAATAGTTTCTCTCTTACGAACCAATCATCCATCACTCTTTCAAGAAAAGTTTCATTAGTCAGGACTCGAGACATGCTCAGTTTGGAAAAGGCAATCATCAATCTTTCTTTTATGCGGCAAAGGGCTCATTCATCACTCATCGGGTTGACCGAAAGCTCCGCTCCCTTGCAATTCCCAAGAACTCTCTCAAGTAATCGAACCTTCTCTCGCAAATGATTAATTCTTTATCGTTTATTATTAAATTTTTGAAATTAATCAGATGGTTTTCTTATGATGAAGATTTTAAAAATATTATACATTTTAACAAAATATACGTACACGCACTTCGCATAAATTTTTTTTAATCAAAAGAAATCAATAATTAATGTTATATTACTAGCCTGATTGGAGAGGCTCAGCTCCACAATCGGCAAACTGAGTTGCAATCTGCGTTGTACCATATCATATACTATAGGAGTATTGTTCAGGGGAGGAGAAGTCGGAAACATGTGTAAATTCAAGATCAATGCGCAAGAAAGTGTGAATTTCCGAAATTGCCCAAGTTCTTAATTTGTTTCTCTCTTTTCTGTTTCATTTTATTTGCACATAAAAAGACATGTATTTGCTCATTAGGTGCCAATGAATAGCTCAGCACCCCGCAAAAATCAAAGAAAGGACTGATATCAAACAATTCGATGCCCGGGGGGCAGGAGATTAAGAATTAGTGTGAGAGAGAGAGAGAGAGAGAGAGAGAGAGAGAGAGAGGCCCAATGATAAGCTAGAGAACAAAAGGGAATATCAGCGTTGAACAACAAATAGATAGGAGAACTCAACAATTAGTGCCAAACGCCATCCTCCTCGCCACCCAACCCCAGTGTTTGCTCCGTGGCTGTTTAAAACTAAGCACTCCCAAGTGCAATTCCAGTAAGTGAAAAATCTAATCCAATGAAATGAAATGGACCAATCAAATCCTACACATCCAATCTAATCTCAGAAAAAAAAAAAAAAAAAAAACACACACACACACATACACGCGCGCGCGCGCGCGCGCACACCCCGCACACACGCACACAATGTTATATACGGATGCATGCGTGAAGTATTTGATAAAATCCGGAATCAAACTGTGCACACAATGCTAGATTCCCAGAAGTTGGAAGAAGACTGGGTTTAATTTGTTTTCAAGTTTCCGGTGTTTGAGCGGGAGGAGCCTTCAGAAGTGGCTGCAGCGCCTTAACCACGATGCTCATATTCGGCCTAAACTCAGCTTCATACTGCACACACAGTGCTGCAACAGCAGCCAGCTGCACGGTCATAACCCTAGTCAGCGTCAAGCTTTTCCATTGGACCAAGCACCATTATATTATTTTGTATAGAGAAAAGGTACAAAACCGGAATACAGTTTTATTTGCTACGGGGTTTTCGATAACATCATAAAGAACAGATAATATTTGCAATTGCAACCCAACAAGTTATGATTGGAAGTAGACACTTCCAAAGCATTCCCACCCTATGCTTTTATTCAACAACCCAAATAGAAGTTTTAAACAAGTATTTCCCAGCGAAAGGAGGAAAAGAGGGAGGGAGGTAAGTTAGATACCTTTGCAACTCCTTTTGGAGGATATTCTCCCTTCAGTTTTGGATCCACGCATTGTTTGACTTTATCTTCACTCAGTCTTGGAGTAGCCTACACAAATTTGTTCACATCAAGAACATATGAAGAGAGAAGACATAGGTACCGTAAACATAAAAGCAGAAGAAAAAGATATAGTAGGGATAAGTTTAAACAGGTGCACTAACCCATGTAACCAGACTTTGCTGTCCTCGAGGCATGGTATGGTCAACAGGTTTTCTCCCTGTAAGAAGCTCAAGAAGAACAACACCAAAACTGTAGACATCACTTTTTTGAGTCAATTGGCCAGTCATTGCATACCTGTAAAGCGTAACAAAAGAAGTTTATAGCTAATACAGCTCTAAAATCACAATAACAGAGACCTCAAGAGCTGACATGTTTTTTTTTTTTTTTGGCTTGGGAGGGTGGGGAACGTCAGCAGGATTGTACAAAAATTCATAGATCTTAACAACAGGAACATAGATGTTACACATCCCCCGAAATTGCAACAATCTCCAAAAGCATACAAATTAAATAGATATATAATATAATATATGAAATCAAAAAAATATAATAATAATAGCAGCAACCACAATTGAAGGAAAGAAAGTGGGGGAAAACTTTTAAGCACAAATTCATGCATGAAATCCAAAAATTGGGAGGAAACATATTATAACTTGTAGAGATGTCCATATCTTAAACACATCTAACAAAATAATCACCAAATTAAACAGTTGAGAGTAAGCTTCTAAGTTTGAAGTGGAGTACAAAAAATATAAGCCAGATAAAAAACATATTAAAAACAACTCGCTAAAAAATAATATTAATGACATGAAAATATAAAATAGAAAACAAGGAGGACTTGGAAATTTACTCTGGAGCATGATAACCAAAAGTTCCCAACACTCGAGTGGAATGAAGGCGTGCAGCCATGTCAGGGGCCTGATTTGAAAGATTAAAATCAGCTATCTTTGCTTTGTAATCATCAAAAATTAGTACATTGCTTGATCGGATATCTCTGTGTATGATAGGCGACTGAACTTTCTCATGTAGATATTCCAACCCCCTTGCCGCATCAACTGCAATTCTAACTCGTTGCATCCAGTCAAGGGTTGGCCCTGGTTGTGCCCCTTGAACTCCCTTCCTACCTATAGACCAAGAAAGGACCAAATTCTTTTGAGGAACTTCTTAGAAGAAAAAGTCAATACATGAAATGGCATTACATACCATGCAGTATGTCATGAAGAGATCCCATAGTTGCAAACTCATATGCAAGTATACGAAGATTTCCTTCAACACAATAACCATGCAGCTCAACAAAATTTTCATGCTTCATTCTTGAGACCGTCGAAATCTAAAACAAGGAACATCAAATTAGAAATTAAAATCTTAACTCTAAAAATTAGAAATTAACATCAAGAAAATAAACAATAATTTACTAAAGTTTTAAAAGTCAAGCCATGCCTGGGTCAAAAACTCAACATTGGATTCAGGTTCCGATGAAACATCAAGCTTCTTCACAGCCACAGCCTTTCCACTGTTTAAAGTAGCATAATATACTCTCCCATAAGAACCTTCACCAATCAATGCCTTTGATCCAAAGTTGTCAGTCATTTCTTTTAGTTCATCTAAAGCTAATGCTGGCACTTCAATAGGTGGTGCAGCCTTTTGTGTTTCAGGTTTAACAGGAGCTGAAGCCTTTGAGCCTTTTGGGATACCTAGAAAGTACATAAAACATGACATACGAGAGACATTTACAAGTACATAAAGAAGCAAACTGACATCAACCAATGATTGAAAACAAATTATATTACACACATGCATTCCAATGTCATTCTGAGTCATATACAAAACACAGAAGTCATTAGATCCCTGTTGTCACATATTCATAAAGACTTTTAACCTAAAGAAACCGTGCAATTTAAATACATCAGAAATATTAAGTTAAAGAACAATGAATACAGTCTGTTCAATGACATAAACTAGCAGAACTCTCCTTTTTTCAGTCTAACAAGCAGAGCTCTCCCTTTTCCAATTTTTTAATAAGAAGTTTACTGCAACTATAGACTGAGGCTTACAAAGACCTACCATCCCCATAATTCCTTGGGCTTTTAAGGTGCTCATTTTCAGAAGGGTAAGGCTCTTCAACATAACAAGAACAACAAAGCCACCGACGCATCCCAGTCCGCTTCCTCAAATATAAATCGTCTTTGGAAGTTGTATTCTCTAGGCGAACAAAGTAATTAGGAGGAGAAGCATGTGCCTGCAAATGATGCCACAGAAAGCATTAATACCCTGAACATAGATGAACAGAAGTTCAATTTGGAAACATTTGAAAACTGAACATATTGAACAAATCTATCATATTTTGATCTACTACTTCCAATTATAATGAAATGTCATGTGTTTTTTTGTGGTTAATTAGCAATTTACTATATAGAAGCAGCACACAATGACTGACGAAGGATGTCTTAAAAAACTGGCTTTAGAAATTTAAAGTGATAATGGTTGATGAGAAGTTTACAAGAAATCCTCTATCCGGTGCAAGCATTAAAAGTTTTAATTAAAGTGAGAAATATGATTGTAATGGATGACCAGACACTCTATGCTTGACATCTTTGGTTCCTAATGCAGGGACATCTTCCAAATCCCCCAAAACATGAAGTAAAAATTTACCACACATAAATTTAAAATAAAATCTGTCTCTCAGTGCCATCAATAAATAAATTATAAAACTGTAGAATAAGAAATTTGAAACATTGCAGGGGACCCCTGGTTCCTCTAAAGGATCACACAAGAATACATGAATAGAATAGAAGTCATTGTTCAGCTGGGTCCAGAAAATTATTATGTATGAGTCAAAATCATACATTGAGCAGGTCCACTCAAGATATACAGAATTTCAGATTGACATGCAACACACAGGAATTGGCCGAGCGGAATGCTTAGCAGTTCAGAAAAGCTTGAAAAAAAATAAAGAAGCAGAGGTTTTAAAAAAACCAGGAAAAAAATCATCGGGTAAGACATTGAACAATTCATCAGATATTTGCACCTGAAAGAACCGAATAAATAGAGATAATATCATGTGCATATCTTACCATCGGATTACGACGACGGAAGTCTCTGTCGTCCATCAAAAAAGAACACGGAAATTTTAAAATGCAATTATCAATGGAAAGCACAACCCAGAAATGAAATTAGAAATCCGATTCCTTTCTGATATATGCACAACAGCCAGGACCCGAAAGATGAAGAGAATCAAAACCCACAAAGGCGAACAACAATTTAACAACCAAGTGCGCAAATATGAGCTAACAATTTTTCCAAATATAGAAAAATCTAGTAAAGCAACGAAATGAAAATGGGCAAACAAAATTAAACAAAAATAGTGGGAAATGGAATGAACAGAGTAGATAGAAAACAGGATATGACAGACTGGCGAACCAAAATTAGACCCAGATCAGAAGTTGAAATTACAGGTGTTAAGGTGAGAGAAAAGAAGAGATACCTTTCGGATTGAGTATGCGTTGGTTGGGAAACCGGAAGGCACGATAAGATAGAGACAGATGGATAGATGGTTTTGATTTGGTTTTCGCTTTGAGGTGTGTGCTAGAGACAGAGAGGCAACGCGGCGTAAAGGTTCTCAATAGAAAACCACTCTCACTCACTCTCGTCTTCCGTTGCGTTCCTAGAAAGGAAGAAGAAGAAACTGTAGCCTGGAAGCGAAGCTCGGCGTTACATAATTCTATATTTCTTTAAAATAACTAGGCAAAATTACACTCAAAGAACCGAACTTAACGATATTTATAATAAACGATTTCATCGAATTAAATTGTTATTTTTAAAAAGTTAAAAGATTTTTTTCATATTATACTTCGGATCCTTAATGGTAAATATATGTATTCCTCAAAAAAAAAAAATTATGACTTGTTCTCGTATTAAAGGAGTAGTTGAAAATATAATTACCCTTTGAACAATTAATTAATAATAATTCTTTTCAATCATTGGTTGATAAGGAAACCATGGGCTGAACATGTAATAAAATAGTTAAATAATTTATCAATTGTCAGCGTGTTTCTGTATAATACTTTATTCGTCCCTATATATAAAAAAGATATTTTTAATTAAATTATATAAATTAATAAAAATTTATTATCTAATTAAAAATACTGTAACATTTTAATTTTATCTTTAATTATTATAAATACAAAGTAAATTTTTTATAAAATAAATTAATGAGAGTTTTCATAATTATTAATTATTTTTTTATTCTTTAATTTAATAAGGATATAATAATTTATTTATTAAAAAATGTTAATAATTTTTTATATATTTAAAAATAAAAAATATTTTAAAAAAACTCCTAATATATAAAAACCGATGGAATATATATGCATCCGCGTAAGATAACAGACCCGCGCTGTTGTCCAAACACCAAACAAAAGGCTGAGATTCTTTCAGACTGGTTTTACGGCTTTGTTTTCTCACGGAGGCCATGTGCCCCACTTCAGAAATATTCGAAGTTTGATGATTTGGTTAACTACTTGTTTATTTCTCTCACCTCAATAATCAAGAGAACAAAGAATATGGGGGGACACGTAAGCTAATGATTCCTGGGCATGAACATAGGGAAAACTATGTTAAAGTCGGCACCAAAAAATTAATGAATCTGATAATAATTAATTTTTTTACATAAAATATATAATTTTTATTATTATTATAATATAATTTTATATATAATATAGAAGAATAACAACCATAACTATATGAATAATAAGTGTCATCTTCTTCAAATATTTTGATTTTATAAATTTACATAAGATTTTATTTATGAAATTATTTTCATTTGATGAATATTATTTATTTCTATTATTTTTTTTTTCAACTTCTTTACTCATGATCTAGGCGGTTTGTTTAAGATTATAAAAATAAGTGATTTTCAAATAATTTAAAAATGTTATAAAAAATGATTTATTTTGCAGAGATTCTGAAAAACTAAAAATTATTGTATTTGATAATAATAATAAAAATCACTTTTTAAAATAGAAAGACAAAAATTTTAACAAGTATATAATAATAAAATGATCAAATGTATAATAATAAATTTGAACCCGAAATTGATAGCCTCCACTTAGACCATTCATGTCGTCTTCAACCAAAATACTCGAATGAAAGGAAGAGAAGAGCGTGGGCGTGGGGACTTTTCTTCCTCTCCCTATCGGTACGGTAATGAAAGAGCCAAGCGTCAGGCTCTCTTTTTTGTTGTTTTGCTACTCAGTCCGTTGCTTCTTCCTGTTGCTCACTGAACTCTTTCTATAGGATTGACTTAGCCATTCTTTATCTGATTCCTTGGCAGTGAGCAAGTCCAAGCCTTCTCCTTCATCATTTTTCTCCACACCCCGCCTTCTTCAAGATGGTGTGGTGGAACAAATGACGATTCGATACGTGATATCGTAAACGGTTTTAGGATTGAACGTGGGTACCATGGCTCTTTCCCTAGCAGTTGTGGGATAAAAGACACAATACTCTAGCAATGTCGACTTGTATTCTTGGTCTACACACGAGCCCGTGATCCTCCATGGCTTCTTGAAGAAACACTTTAGGTTCTGGAAGGGAGAAGTGAAGGTGGACTTAGACATGGTGAGCGAGCGATGTAGGGAGCAAAGGGGATGAGGAAGAACGACCTTTCGAAATAGAACGATCCAATTTCTGCAGGTTTTGCAATTCCTTGCTTTATGAATCTGACACGGGTTGGCCTCTCGAAGACTCGAACCCTCGAATTGTCGGACTTGGAAAAAAGTTGCAGAGTGTGAAGGAAACTCCGTGAAATTCAGACTTGACTCCTCTCCAATTTTTTCTCTCTCCACTTTTCATCTCAACCGTCAGATTCATTTTGAACGGTTGAGATTTGATGTTTATAAAAATAAATATAATAATAATTTTATGAAACATCAAATCTCAACCGTTTCAAATAAATCTGACGGTTGAGATAGAGAGTGGAGAGGAAGTGGAGAGAGAAAAAATGGAGAGAATCTGGGTTCGTGAAATTCGTCGTGTTTTTAAGCACCCTCTCTCTCTCTCATCTACTATAGGGTTTATTTAAATAAATTTAAAAAAAAACTAGTCAAAGCAGCTTCTTTACATATTTTGATTATTTTTAAAATTTTAAACAAATACATTAAAATTGTCAAGAGTATTTTTTTATAAAAAAGTTCTTTTTTAAAAATTAAAAAGGTTAAACAAATGGGCCAAATTTCCAACTCCATAATCACTTTTGTAGATGCAGCTAGCTATTCAAAGTATTCCATGATTTGCATCATCTATGCTCTTATTTTTTAAATATAAAAAAATATAGAACTACCCTACCTCCCGAATTTCTCTCCATTATTCTAACTTCCCCTTAATTTATTCATAATTTCAGATTTAAAATTTAAAAATGATAAGTAAATTATTATCCTAACTTTCCAATTTCTTACCCATAAATTTTAATTTTAAAAATATTTCATAATTACTCATAATTTTAAATTTTAATTTTAAAAATATTGCAATTTTTTTCATAATAAGCAAATTCTGTATAACTTTTCTACTCACAGATTTTTTTTTCATTATTCTAACTTCCTAATTTTTTATTTATATTAAAAATCTTGAAAAAATTTCGATAAAAAACATATTTCATGTGATTTCTTTGACTAACTTTCATGGAGCACCCCCTTGTCTTGTAGAGCATTTTTCTCAATATTCTCTAGATGATGTGGGTTAATTGTTTCTTTTTAGATTTAAATCCCCCTCCTCAATTTTTTTTATATTCATTTCAAACTAAGCAAAGACCAATGACCTTGATGATAAATAATAAGAAGATTTTAACACGGGATAGCAATATCACTGGCCCTGCTACCAATTGTCTATGACTTCACTTAACCCCATCATTGTGTTTAAGGTGCTAATTGATGATAGTAATTTGGTAGGACAATAAAAACTAATACTTTGTTTTCAAAATTATTCTCCTTTTATTGTTTTTTCATATTTTTCAAAGCGCTATGCTTTTCTCTTTCCACATGTTATTAAGGCACTTAATCTTTACAAGAAGAAGACTGGAAGTGAAAAGTTTTTTGGGATATGACTTAGATATACTGCCCCTACTTTATGTTCATCTTATTTTAAGTTCAAGCATGCATGTTTGTTCTTATTAACTTGCATTGTGAATAATATAATATTTAATTTTCAAGCCTATGCTCATGTTCTTAGCAAAACCATTAATTAACAGGTGTCCAATGGAGGTAAGATTAGGTGGTAGCAATGCTGCAACTACACTATGGGTAACAAATCAATTCAATGGTTGTCTAAGTCTTGCTACAAAGAAAGAACTTTAAGAATGATCAAATGAAATCATATCATGTATTTGTGAAGTATATATTATTCTGTCCTATTATGAAAATTAGATTCTTTTTGTGGCTTTTTTCTTCTAGATTAAATTTTGTTATTATTTTCAAATTTATTTTGAAGATTGCTTTAAATTTAATTCATCTTAATTGTATCATAATTGTAATCACAAAAAATTTACATAAAAATATCACGGGTATCCCAAATTATTTTATTTTAAAGTTAATAGAAAAACATTATTCTAATAATTTCAATTCTGCTTTTCACTTCGTTTATGTTATGATCTTATTTTGATCTATTATTTGAAACTATTTTACTGTGGCTTACTTTTTTTTTTTTTGGTGAACGTGACTTACTGGTTTTAACTGCATTAATAATCAATTTTAACTTATACTATATTTTTAAATTGATTGAGAACTACTTCTATAGTATTCCTATGTGCATATGGTACTGGTGATATAATATTTATGCTTAAAAAAATATTATTGCAAAGATGATAGAATTATAAGATCTCATACAATGCATCACGAGTGTATATAGAAGTAAGTGGTTGTGTGTGTTATATTTAACTTTAATTTAAGCATAGACAAGAATATAATTTTTTTTTTCAAGAAAACAAACGAAATCTCTCAACTATATGTATTTGTGTGCATCTATATATGTATGAATATGTGTAAATAGAATTAATATAAATAATCAAACCCTTTAAGATAAATGAAATGATAATTGTAATTAATTTTTGTAATTCATTCAAATAATAATAATCAAGTTAATATGTAAGAATAAAGGTAACTTTAATTTTGCAATTATTTTAATTTAAGAAAAATATAAGTTTTAGTTATGACTTGAATCTTATTGATTTAAACTATAAATTATATAGTCACACCATGCACATTGCACGGGGCATATGCTAATTATTATTAGCAAAAATAAAGAATTTGAGACTCAAATAACGGGAAGTCTATTCGGTAGTAGTCGAGTCTATGGGCTCAAAGTGAGACTCTTTTTTGAATGACGAGGAAAATCATCTAGGCCCACATATGACATAAAGCTCGCTAGAGGCAAAACCTAATTAAGTGACACCACAGTCGACGAATCGTGGTGGGATCTCATAGAGTCCACCAAGTCGAACGTTGTACCGTACAGACATATAGTAAGAATTGTAATGGAGAGCTTTGAATCAAGGTTAATGCATGAAAAAGACGGAAATACCAAAAGTGAGGGCATAACGTACAAGACTTGAGTCAATGTGAACGTCCTATGATTGTAAAACACGTTGGGTACGAAACGTGTGTTGACCTCATGATGCTGGCTTACATGCAAGCACGTGGAAGACCCGGGGATTAGAAAAAGATGGAAGGTCAAAACAGAAGAAACCAATAAGTATTGTATTACTTACCTAATTTGCTTATTCTTTCCACATCCCAATTTCTCGACTTGCAGAAACAGTAGAGAGAGGCTAAGATTTGCGCATGGTTGATCAATTTTGTAGGTTTCAAATTTTACCCGAGCAGCTAGCTTCAACGATAGAGGACCAGTCGGTGAGTGAGAGTAGCCTTGGATTGGGATGGAATACACACACTGATAGCCGCCGTGAGGAAGGCGAATATGAAACACAAAATCAAATCGTTTCTTTTACTTGCTTTCCAAATTTATTCAAGTTACAAATATCTTTCCAAACACTACGTAGATTATACGTGTATTTCAAGTTACCGTGCAATTATACAACTTCTAATCATGGCAACTAACAACCTCCCAGGAAAAGAAAAAAAACCTCTTATGTGCCAACATCTAACGCGAACATGGCTGCACCTGCACTTACTTCTAGTATCAGTATAATTAACAAATTCCAGAATACAACCCCAATCCACTAGTTTGGAGAGGTTTGACGAAGATCTGGAAGCTCCAATCAGCACAAATTCTTGAGCAAGCACCTGTTCCTCTTTCCACAGCTAACAGGAAATCGCAAAGCGCTGTGATACAAGCAGCAACTCACATATAGGTAGAGTAAAAATTAAATACAGTTCTTAACGTCTGGGATTAAATTTTTTACTTAAAATATGATGAATGATTTTACGTCTCACCATCGTATAATAAGACCTTTTGAAAAAGTTTTTCCATATATTATATTTATTAAATAACCTGACTGCAAACACTTGACTCTTGAAAAGGTTTGACTAAATTTTTTCCTTACCATAACTCCTTCATACAGCAACTTCGGTTCTCTCAGCTGAAATACTTGTTTCGCTAAAATCCATCATCTTGTTTAGTGCAGAAACATAAGCCTTGACACTGGAAACAACAATGTCCATGCTAGCCCCTGTCCCACTGACCCAAAAGCAGAACATCCATACGCAAATTTGTCTTAAAAGAACAAAATACGCTCAAGGGGAGGGGAAGGGGAGGGGAGGGGAGGGGAGGGGCCTCCCTTTCCCCCCAACCAAACAACACCTAAAGCAATCAACTCTAAATTCACCATACCTAAATGTTCTGTAAACTGTTTCTCCAGTTAAAGCGTGAGTGGATGGATGACTTGCCTTCCCTCGAATTACAACTCGGGTTGTAGCAATTGCGTCTATGCCTTCTGTAACTGCATTCAGTGAGTACTCCAAAAGTGTTGCTGGTTCCTGCATATGAATGAAGGTAGAAGATTCCTCTGTCATATCAAAAGAGTTAAAACAGATGCCGCATAATCCCAAGTAAAAAATGAGAAACGTTCGGAAATCAAAGTTTGCAGTATATTAAATGATTTCCAATATGTTCTCGAAAACTAAATAATATAATGAGAAAGCATCAAACTTTAAACCTTTATAATGAGATCGACAGCCTTGTAAGCTGAATCTACTGGTCCAGTACCGACAGAACAAGCAACATGAGCTTTACCATCAGCATCAATAAGTTTGACAGTTGCTGTCGACAGACCAAGAGTCCCACATGTCACCTGCACTGGATAGACAATGATCAATTTGGTTTATTCAAGCAACGCCTAGCTATTACATTAAACATCTTTCAAAGCATATTCAAATTTACCTGCAAAGCATCAAACTTCCAGATTGGTTCTGCCTGAAAAACTTCATCCGATACCAATGCTCGTAGGTCAGCATCAGTGATTCTCTAAAGACAATAAAAATCACATCCAAGTTAGGCCATGGTCAAATTTATTTTCAATACTGAACCTGAGAAAAAAAAAATTGTAGCATAGGCTGCTCGGTTGAAAACCTCATCCATTATTCTTGATTCTAGAGAGAATGGAGAGGCCATTGCTGTCAATGACCACTATTAATTCTTTGACATACAACACCAAATAGCAAAAACCTAGACACTAGTTTAACCTGATGGCTTTACAAAGTAAGGAAATTTTATGACTTATCATATATACCTTTTTTTGCTCAGCCACTGCTTTGAAACGCCAAAACATATTTTCAACTTGGTCATCTTTGAGCTCGTAACCAAGCTGAAACAAAATAGAACGAATCATAACAGCAAGAAAGATATAGAACTAATCTTTAACTCAAATATTTTTATACCTCTTCAAGTCTTCTTTTCAAAGCATGACGTCCACTACATCAAAAGAAGCAGTCATGTTTGTTCAGGGCTCCGGGGATACAAAGACATAAAAATATGAGATTACCAAAAACAAAATTATAAAACAAGAGGGGAAAAAATCTTGATTCAATATTGATCGATACAGCACAAAACATCTACATCCTCAAAGTGAAATAAGTGTTTCAGAGAGTAAATGTTAGATGCCATAGAACTAGAAGCATTTAAATCGCCAACTAGCTAATCATGGACATCTAACTATAGTAACCTTAAAGTAAACACAGAATTCTCATAAAAAAATGTAGTATATAGAAAAGGGCCTTCCAATGTTTTTAAACAATATGGACATTACTAAAAATATTTCAAAGCTCCATACGCCTCTCAAACAATCAAGCAGAGCTGACTTGACATTAAACATCTCATATTACCATTCTGGTTACGTGTCTTCATTAGGCTGGGAGAGATGAATTGGCAAGAGTGCTCTCATATCCAGGTGAAAAGAATGTCAAATGTGCGTACATTATCAGCAACGCTACAATTTCCTGGTCACGCTAACTTATAAGAGAATTTCTTACATTTACCTACAGCTCTTGTAACGATCCCCTTTTATCAAGTTAGACAATAAAGTAGTACAAAGAGAGCTCCTGCTCCACCCTGTTAAGATATGGAAGAATACGGTGCCATGTTTTGAAACCGGAAAATGTTTAAAAGTGATGAGGATAAGGATTCTCACATCTTAAGTCATATAAAATCAAACTCACACTTTACACTTAACTAACGGAATCTCATTGCACTAGAATTGGTAAATTATCGATACCACAGTAAAGACACGTTGAACATAAAAGTCCCCATAAAAGTCAAGATCATATAACTAAAAGTAATTCCAAACCATCCAGATTTTAAATATTGAAAATATATACAACAGTCAGTTTATGAGATGATAATTCCAAACAATTTAAAATAATACACAGGGATGAGCAGGGAGCAGAAGACCCACAAAGATAAAAATAACAGTTCAGAAAAAAGAGAAAATAGCATACCTAAGTTTCCCCAAAACAATACCAGCTTCATTGGATCTTTCAAACCCAATATCCTCTGGAGCTATTATTTCATATGTACCTTTGTGTTTTAGCATTCCATCCTACAACAACAACAACATTATTTAAGGCGCGCCCAGGGATAAGCCTGCTTAAAAATTAAAATGCATCCAGAGAATAGTCTGATATGGCTCAGACTAGGATCGTAATGAGGCTGTTAGGATGAACTAGTATAGCTTTCTCCTCATTTTCTTCAAATGAAATCTTGTAAAATTAAAGCAAACATTAATTTTGGATATTAATATGTCCTATGAGATAAATGATTCACAGGGTACCTGATCTGACTGAACTGAAAAACTCACTTGCACGGAACTTCTTTTTTAAATAAACTGGAGTTAAAGAAGAGAACAAATACAAACCAGGGAGAGGATATGATAGCCTCCAAGTAAAACGGAAAACAACAGAGAGCAAATGCAGCAAAGGTGAGCATTCCATCCGCATATCAGGAAAAGAAGCTCCCTTAAAAAGTTAAAACACACATTTAGAGCACCAAAGTGAATCCATAACACAACCTACCCAGTAACAAATGCCGCAACAAAGAGATGCCCAAAAGGCTTCTTAGAAATTAGCCATAGACAAACAATCTTTTCAATGCATTATGCTGCTCAGGCTATGAAGACAACAATCCCTCACTAGAACCAACAAATTGGACAAAACGGAGAAATAGAAAAACAAAACATGCATATAAAATAACTATCTAGACCTGACTTTTGATTCCTAAAGCAAGAACAATGCATGAGACATCAGATCCAGACATCATCAAGTGCAAGAGCCAATTTTGTCATAATGCACACATGACTGCTACCTGCCGTGCCTCAGGTAGGAATTTCATTTTTAAACCATGGAGACAAATTGGTTCTGCAGTTCAGCCAAATAACACGGTGGACTATTCTTAAAATTATGTCTTTTTATTAGTAATATGAGCATTTGTGTCACATGAGAAGCTGCAGCTGTTAAAGGTGAAACCTCATATTCAGTTGTAAAATAGTTTTATGTACAAAATATAAGCCCAAGAAGCATACAATAACTGTGCTGGAGTCTTAACCACCTTATAAGCATAATGTATCAGTCAATTTGACACTAACCTGATGAATGCCACTTTCATGAGCAAAAGCGTTAGCACCTACAAGAGCCTTGTGTGGCTGCAATTGCAAACCAGAGTACTCTTCAACCTATTGAAAAAGATGGTGAAAACCAACATTAGATGTCATTAATTGTAAAAAAAAAAAATAGGAAAAGAAAGGGAAATAATCGTTTGATACAAAACCATCTTGCTCGTCAAATAGATGTGACGTGTATTAATTCCTGTATAAAGACCGCCATAGACATGATCTTTCCCACATTTCAGAGCCATCACAACCTTAAAAGAAAAAGTAAGTCAGAGTTGTTAAAATCATTTGAAAATTTTAATCACTAAGAGAATATTAGAACAAGGACAGTGAACACAGAAAATTTTGCAAGGGTAGCTGCAAGTAGTGGATTCTACAAGAGCAGATTGAGTTATTATATAGGAAAAACTCACAAAAGCAAAGATTACTTAAAAAAGGAAAAGAATTTAAAATAAGAGATTATATCAAGAAAATCAATCAAGTTCTTCACAGACGGGAACTTCAATGTTCTATTGATATTTAAAGGTCTGAATCCTTTAAACAGATTTTTTTTTTTTTTTTGAAAAAAAGGAGGTATTCAGCTCACAGCAAGCCAAAAGATGAAAAACAAGCACATAAACAGGATATCACTGGCTTTTGAGAGGTTAGAGGTTATAGAACCATTTTTCAAGGCTTTTCCCGCCTGCTGCCATTGTAACATGTCCCAAAAACCTTCTGCTATCACCCAATCTCTCTCCAAATTCCACACCCAGCACATGCAATACTCTCAGATAAGACTTATATTCTCTCATGCACACCACCAGTGGTTAGCTCATTATATTTCCCTCGCATCCTTGTGTTTGATTGGTTTTTCCCCCGCTAAAAGCCTTGCTAAAGCCAGGCCCATGAGGAACTGGACCCATCATTCACATATTAACACATCATTATATAAATCCAATTACTCTGGTAAAAAATTATGAGAATGTGCACACTTGCACACACAGAAGATATCCGCAGTATATTCATAGAATAGTGTTTAATGTTTAAGAGATAAAGCGAATGGTATTTTAATATTATTAAAATAAAACCAGTAGTGTTATAACAAAGAAATCAAATTAAATTCGCAATTGTTCTCAACAAAATTATCATGAGTTATGCTGATCTCAACGAAGACAAAAAGAACGTCAGAGGGAGAAAAAGATGCTCATGACAAAGTGTGCAATGATACAGAAAAGGGATAGATGGATTTGTTCTGACAGTTTTCATGGTTCTAAAATTAGTATTACTTTTGCGAACTTCTGAATCACGGACAGATGTGTGATTGGTCATTGGACCATATATCAAATTCCATTTTTATATCAAAATAAGGCAAGGAAGTAGTCCTCCATCAGATAAAAAAACAAATGTGAGCACTGAGTGTGCACTTTCACATGATTTTTCAAATATAGACAAAGATTGGCATATACTCCTCCGGAGGGTGTGTAGGACTACAGGATCTCAATGAAATAGGCCCATCATTAACTACTAATCCTCAATAACCAGGACCACTCTAGGGTGGTGAACTGCATTGTTGTAAAAAGGCTAGAACTATCAGCCTGCGGCTTTGTGAACATTGTAAAATCTATGTGGTTACAAATTGATTGAGAAATTCAAGATAAGAAATTTATTTATGCTAGATGCATGAGCACAATCTCTTATGGACACAAAGGCCGATAGAGATGCAGAGTAACAATGAACAATAATCAAGGACAAATAGAAATAGCTTCGAAGGCACAATAGTCATTTCCAGATATAATACATTGCTGCAAAGGACTGAAGTTAATCAGCCTACTTGGATACTTGCATGAAAATCAAGTCTAATTATATCTGAATTTTATTTTGCATATAATTAACTTTTTAATAGTAACTACTGAGGATGCTACTTCTGAAGTTAATGTTCTAAGATGCACTATCATTTCATTTAGGGGCTGAATATGTGATGTTGCCCTGGCAGTATTAATCCTATTCCTACTGAAGACTAAAGAGTAATAAATTCTTCACATAAATTACATAATGAAAACTTAAAATAAACTGTGTTCCACTGTATCTATGCTTCAGTGATAGTCATTACATCTGTTTGGACAGTAAGATTAAGATTCACCTCTTCTAGAGATGCATTGCCAGCCCTCTCACCTATCCCATTAATTGTTACTTCCAATTGCCTTGCACCAGCACGTGCACCCTGAAAGCAGCTAAGATTAGATAAAAAATGCAATATATGTTTTTTGTCAGCATTAACTGTAGAGATCTGTGTATACCTCTAAGGTGTTGGCAGTAGAAAGTCCTAGATCATTTTGACAGTGGGTTGAAATGATGACATTTTCAATTCCAGGAGTATTGGCTTTTAAGTCAGCAATCAATCTTCCAAACTCACTGGGCATAGTTATACCGACAGTGTCAGGTATGTTTAACGTCGTTGCGCCAGCCTTGATTACTTCTCCCAATATCTGATACAGAAACTCCCTGTCCGATCTGGAAAACATGCCAGATTGAATCGGATGAAAGTCAATAACAGAAGTAGGAGTGGTCTCCAACACGTATCATTAGCTAACCAAAAATTAACTATATCTCTTCTTAAAAAATAAAAATTAGACGGAACGAATTGTAGTAAGATCACTCCTTCATCAGAAACGGATTCAAAACCCATTGCATGCATTGCTTCTCTGTATTTGCAGGTAGACTTTTCATACTTATTCCCATAGCCAAAAATCAGGCAAATTAAAAGAGGATAGGCAGAATCACGAGAAGAATGGACAGGAGAGACCTCCCAGCATCTTCAGGACTGAACTCCACGTCGTCGCAGCCTAAACTCCGGGCAAACTTCACCATATTCCGGGCAATCTCAACCACCTGCTCCTTAGTCTTTTTCAACTTATACTCCATGTGAATTGCGCTGGTAGCTATAAAGGTGTGGATTCTTGGCCTTTTAGCATGCTTCACAGCCTCCCACGCAGTACTAATATCCTTCTCATTACACCTGGATAATCCGCAAATGACAGGCACGTATCCTTCATCGTCAACAGCATTTCCAACCTCGTTGGCTATCATTTTCACAGCCTCGAAGTCATCTTTGGATGCAGCGGGGAAACCCGCCTCAATAATATCCACACCAAGCTTGGCGAGCTGGCGCGCTATGTCGATTTTCTCCTTGGAGGTCATAGAAGCTCCGGGGGACTGCTCGCCGTCGCGGAGCGTGGTGTCAAAGATCCGGACATAGTTGGGGTCAGGGATGTGATTGGGAATGTACTCAGGGCGACGGCGAGAGGGAGTGTTGTTCTGGGATTGAGAACAGGAAATGGAAGTGGATTTAGGAAAGGATATCTTTGAATTGGTTAAGATGGCGGATGTTGAGAGGGAGGAATGCGAAGGGAATGTGGGGTTTGAGATTCCAGGGAAGTGCAGGAGAGTGTGGGAAGAGTGACTGTTGGAGCTGAGAGAGGAAACGGAGTTGACTCTGGGCGACGACAGAACATGGCTGCGGAACACAGTTGCCATTGACGAACACACAAGCGAGAGATATCAATACCCTAAAACCTGTAGTGTAGTGAAGAAGGAGGACAGTGGGCAATGGGGTTAACAGTGCTTCAACTCAGAATGCTTCCTCTCAGTTGAAAATTCGGAGACGAACACGTTGAACGAGGGCCGGCGACTATTTTTCTGGAGTGGGGAAAAACATCGATGTGCTGGTTGTACAACTTAGAGGCTTTCAATAAACAATCCAATTAGTGGGTGTTATTCATCGAGATTCTTGTTCTCGCTCGTGCTACCCTTGACTCGTGGAATGGATTCGGATCCCTTATCCGGTTCAATTGAGAAATAAATCAAGCAATTGCCCACCCAGTGAGCCCACTTAATTCAAAGGGAAAATTTCACCCCAATTGCACTGAATGAAAAAAAAAAAAACTTTAAAAATATTGCATGACAGAGGCATTGATTTAAAATTAAATTTCATAGCCAAATGATAATATTATCCCTCCCTGTAAGAGCAAAGAAAAAAAAGTTCTGTTAGCTCGACCATAATGCACATGTGTCGTAAATATGTAAAAAATCAATAACACCTCCATTTCAAATATGAACCAACACTTCCATTTCAAACCTGAACTAGTAAAATCTTCCTTGAGTGAGTTGAAAAATTTTACTCAAGAAAATTCTCATCTCATCCATCATCGCACGCATATTCGATAAGCATGGACGACACACTTTAAGCTTCCCAAACTCTTAAAGTCTAAAGATCAACGACACTTCCATCATTAGAATTCCTACCCACAATTTTCCGTTGACCGAGTCACCAACTAGTCAAGCACTACCTCTGATGTCGTAGCTTCTTTTGGTCAACATTATTCATTCCTTAGTTAAACATTAAACCAATATTTGAAAAGCAGTCAATATTGTAACAAACAAGTGTAATGGGGAAATTAACAACTGTTGTAAGGCAATTAACCACACACATTGAGACGACAAATAAGTCATTCAAATATAAAATCATACCAGCATGGTCATATTTTATCGATATGTTTTACTTGAAATTCTTTTAAACACGTACCGGTATATCAAAGACTAGCTGGTATATCATAAACATACTGATATATCATAGACTTATTAATATATTTTGCTTGAAATTATTTTATGTTGTAACAAACAAGTGTGATAAGGAAATCAACAACTATCATCAAGGGTGGAATCATACCATAAGGATTGGGGGGCCAAATTAAAAAAAATAATCATGGATATTGATATCTCTTTAAAAATATATATTAAAATAATTTTATAAGATAAAAATAATAAAATAAGAATCATTTAGAATTTTATAATTTTGTAAAAATAGAAAATAAAGTTAAGTCCTAGTATATATTTTATACATATAATAGAAACTTAAAAAAATTACATGCTTAATGTACTTAAGCTAATATTAACCTAAAAAATAATATTTTATGTCTATCCTTATTTAATAGAGTATCTTATTTAAAATTTTTATTAATTATGGATATGTTTAAAAAATATTATTAATTGCACATTAAAAAGTTCAAAATATCTTATATTTTTTAACATTTTATCTCACGAAAAATGGCTTATATTTTTAAATAGAGGGATTATATTTTTGTTTAATATACATACAATAGAAGAAATTATATATATGTTGGCAAAAAAAATAAGAAATTATAGATGTGCAAGGGGAGTAATAATCTTTTTTTAAGAAGGGATGGAACACTACATTTGGGCACACAATACACCCTCATGCATGAAAATTGTCATGAGTTGCCATGAGATTGGCCCCCCTTAAGGTACAAGTAGATCCATCCATGATTGTAGTAAGATAATTAACCACACGTACTAAGATAACAAACAAGCCATTCAAACATGAAATCACATCGATATGATCATGTTTTACTGATATATTTTACTTAGAATTCTTTCAAACACATCAATATATCAGAGATATATCGGTATATTATAGACATACCAGTATATCATAGACTTATCGATATATTTTGCTTGGAATTCTTTCATGTTGTAACAAACAAGTGCAGTAAGAAAATGAATAACTGTTGTAAGATAATTAACCACACACATTAAGGTAGTGAACAAGTCATTTAAACATGAAATCATACCAATATATCAGAGACATGCCAACATGAGATGTATATTTTCTCTATCATTTTTTTGCACATTACCTATAGTTCTTCTTCCATCAGATGATTCTTGTATAGGGACTCCAATAATAGAGATGTCGCTTTCAATGTCTTAGATTGAGTTCTAGAGAGATTTAGATCTCTATTCATATATTAATTTAGATTTTAAGTCATTGAAATATGTTAATTAAATAATAGATAACATGCATTAGGTTCATGCAAGAATTTTTCCCTGTATAATTATATTTTCACTGAACGGAACTGGAAGATTTATTTATAATATTTATTTATTGTTGATCTAAATAATTATGCACCTTTGTTAGTCTCCTCCCCACTGTATTTGTTTACACAATATGTTTTTATTTTTTTTATCATTTGTTATATTTAATATGCATAATTAATTACTAACAATAATTACACATTCCCACTATGCATATAGAAGGACACAAATAAGGTATTTATTACAAGTTGTTCTTTTTAAAGAGGATTTCCCTATAAAAATTTGTTATAAAACAATGAATGACGCCTATTTTAAAAAAAAATGTTTTATATAACGCATGCGCGCACGTAATTTATTAGTTATATTTAATTAGTAGTAATATTTCTGTATGGCTAATCAATGGTGATAATATGGGAAACAATAATTGCTTCCATGACGATTTAACGTAAGAGTTATATGTATATATGAGTGATTTTTTATTATTTATTTTTTATAGTAGACGTTTTTAAATAGATTTTTTTAATTTTTAATTTTTTTGTTTTTTAACTAAAAACTGTTTATAAATTAATATAATTAAACATATTTTTGCTTCATTGCATGTCTAGGAACCTTTTGAAAAAGCTGCGGAACATTCACAATGTGTGCCTTTTTAATTGGCATAGTTTAGGATGAGGTGTTCAATTTTGTACTCATCTTAATTAGTTTAATTTTATCTTAAATTTTCAGTCGTATCAAGACTAGTCCTTCTTGACTCAAACAAAAAGAAGACAAGGGCTTTGCAAGATTAGGGTGAGACTTGGGACGTCTCATCCCGTGTAATATTCAATTTTTATTTTTAATTTAAGTAATATTGGGATGAGATTTTTTAAAAATAGAATTCATCATGTAATTAACTAGATGAGCATGGAAAATTAAAAAAAGAGGGGGAGTTAAAGGTATACATTTTAGAAGGAAAAATATAATTATCGGTTTATATAGTTTCATTAAGTCTTTTTTAGTTACTATAATTTTTTTAATATTTTCAATCCCTATAATTTAAAAAAAATGGATGATATATATTTTTTAAGTCTCTATAATTTTAATTTTTTAAGTGTTTTTAGTTCTTCTAATGAATGAAAATTCTGAAAGATTATAAAAATTAAAAGCAAAATTCAATAAAATTAAGGAACCATAAATTATGCCTTTTCTTTTTAGAATAAGAGAAAAATTATAAAGTTAGGTGAGATTAAATAAAAATAGTTAAAATAATGTTTCAATTTATTATATTGTAATTAGTGAATTATTAGAAAATTTATTTAACAAAACACATAAATTTAGTCCAAACTTTTAATTTTTGAGATTCTTGAGAAAAAAATATATTATATATATAAACAAATAATTTTTAATAAAAACACATGGGAAAAGGGAACGATTAAAAAAATAACAAATGAAAAAAGCAAGACAGCGCAAAATCGTGAGAAAGATCGAGATTGAGAGAGAGTGACACATGTGAGAGATTGATTTGATTGTTGTTGAATCCAACAAATTAATTTGATGGATTTTGAAAGTTCTAAAAATTAGACAAGTACTTTAAATCTCCCCTTTTTTATATATTTTAGGGATCTAGTAAGGAAATTTTTTTTAAATTAGATAAATTCTAAATTTGTTAGGTATTTTTAACTTATTGTTGAGCTATTAAAAGAGCTAGCAAGATTAGATTAAAAGTTTTTATGAATGGAGTTTGTCCAAATCATTGATTTTTAGAACTTTTTTAATGTTTTAAAAATACTTACAATAAATAAATAAAGATTTGTTTGTGAATTAATAGGCTATAAAATTTTTCCAGAAGTTAAATTTAATTATAAATAAGTTAAATATAAGGATTTGGATTGAATATGTGAAACTTGAAAATTTGAGGATAAACTTCAGAGATTAAATTTGAGTCTTTTGGAAAAAATTTAAATATAAAGAGGTTTTATTAATTTTATAGACAGAAAAATGGGCAAAATTTATAAAAATTAATTAAATTAAAGGATAAAATAGTTTAGAATTAAATATAGAATGATGGGAACTACTAGAGTTAATGTTGGGACAGAATAAATTAATGAGACTTGTTAAATAACATATTTCTTGTTTTTAATTTTTGTAAAGTAGTATTTGAATTGGTGGTATCAAAAATGTTTTAGCACGTATAGTTTTAATATGAAAAAGAGGCAACAGTGGCTATTCTTTTTATACTAAAAAACTATAAACACTATTAGTCACATATAAATGGTTATGAGAATGTTATGTATATTGAGGGCTCATTTGATTAATTTAAATTAGAAATACATGTTTTGAACTTTCTAGCATATTTGTGTGATGTGTGTTGTGTGTGTTGTGTGCAACTTTTATTCCTTGCAAGCATACTAGCTTTTGTTGAGTTATATCTGAATTATAGAAATAAACTCTTATGACTATTTAATTCTGTCAAATATGCTCAATTGCATTAGAAATTAAAAATAATATGATTTACGAGTATGTGTTTAAGTTATTATTTTTATTAGTTTGAAACATTTAATAAATTATAGTTTTTTTAGTCTTACAAGCAGTGTATTTTTAGCCAGGTATATCCTCAACCGAGACTCTTGTTAGCGAGATAAGGTGGATGGGAGTCACAAAGGAGGGCCAAGAATGACATCACCTATATATAGGTTGGTTTTTTTTAAATGTTTTAAAAATCAGAGTGAATCGACAGGTTGAACTAGCTATTGATCTGATTTGATTGACCTTTCAAAATGGGCCACAAGGGAATTGATCAATGACTGAAAAAACCAATCAAAAACTTGAACCGATTTCCTTAAAAACCAGTATGAATTATTTAAAATTAATTAAAACAAAGAACAACCAAGAATAATTAATATTAATCATATATTCATCAACAATATATTATTTTACCAAGCATTTATTATTTTCTTAAAAAAATATAAACATTTGCATACATTTCTTATTTATTTATGATACATAAATTGAAAATATATCAATTTAATGTCAATTGGTTCAATCATGGTTTGACCAATAAACCGTGAACTAATAGTTAGTTCGATTTAATGATCGGTCTGATTTTTAAAACTTAAATTTTTATATGTACTCCCTCCGATTCCTATTAAAAGTTAGTTTTTATTCTTGATATCATAAAAAAAAAATTATATATACTTTTATTTTTTCCTTAATTTTGAACAATAATATAACAACATTAAATACCTTCACGTTAATCGAGAAATGATAAAATTAAAAAAAGTTGCTTAATTATCATAAGTATTTTATATTTTGGAGCAAGAATTACGTTTAGAAGGTGTCCTATAAATATAACCAGTGAGTATTTGTAACTTGTAAAAAAACATTTCCTTTTGTGAACTGGTTTTGTGAAAAATATTATTTATGTAAATACACATTGTGAAATGAAATTTTGAATTTATTCATTAATATATTTAAAATTCTTATTTGTTACTGAAATGGTTGTTCACACACACGTTACCTCTTGCAATTTTCAGGTGTAGTTTTCAATAAGTCATAAGGAAAGGTGTTGGATAATTTAGCAAGAACTCAATTGTTCTGTGGGTGCCGCACATGTTCAATTCACACATTGCTTATTGCCATGACTTATAAATGTATATTTAAGTTATTATTTATTGGGCTTGAAACATTTAATAAATTATGATATTTTGTATTCTTTGAAGTTTTTTGGAAGATTTATTTTATTTGATTTTGGGCCAAGCCTTGTTCTTGTTTATTAAAGTCTCCTTTTGTTTTTGTTTAATTTATGGAAAACGACTATAAGTTTAAAAAGCCTTCATTATTTTATTGGAATCCCAATATTTAATTGTCAAGTTTTTTATTATATTATATGATATATTTTTTATAAAAATAAGGGCGTCACATCATGTCCCATATATATATATGTATGTATGTATGTATGTATGTATGTTTTTAAAAAATAGGCGTTAAATATATAATTGTATTAATATAGAATCAATTATATTAATTATAATTTCAAGGTTTGCAATCCCTATTCAAAACTAAAATGTGGTGATACTGACTATTTAATGATACATAGTAAGCAATATAAGGTAATCTAAATTTTTTATAATATATTAATTATATTAATATGATTTATTCTTATATTTATTTATTGAATAATTTTTATTCATATTATATTACTTACTTTCTTTTCTAAATAGTCAATGCCTTCAAATATTTCAACTAAATGAGAAGAATAATAATTTAATGTTATATCCAGCGTGTTTGTTGTTGTTAAACTTGTAGTTTGGAAGTTATTAGTTGTTGTTGTTATGATATGTTGTGTTTTATCTTGTGTTATTTTAGTTTTAAACTTTAAGTTACATAATTTAATATTTTAATGAATGTCGAGTAAAATACTAAAAACCGAACATCACTTTATTTAGTCTTGAGTAAGGTAATGAAAACAAAAATGGTCATTGAATTGGTTGATGCAATGGTTTAAGTGTCAGCGGTCCAACTAAGAGTTCAATCCGAAATCAAATTGAGCATAATTAAATAATATATTCTAATTTAAAGATACAAAAAATATTCATATTTAATTATGGAAAACAGTAATATTCAAATAAAGAAGTCTTTAATTCTTTTTTGGCCAAGAAGAATTCCTTAATTCTCAAGTAAATGAAAAATATGTCCACAAAATTAACACCTTATACATGTCCTATAGTTGTATAAGTTTTTCACAATGATAAAATGCAACAACATTAAAATATCGTCTTTTCTTTTTTTTTTCTCCTTGGTTTGTCTTTTGATTCTCTTCACCGCTTCACTCTACCCCTCTTGATCTTGATACATTCGTCATCCAATTCAAGTTATGATCGGTTCAAATAATCCATTCTATGTCTGATTGAAAACCTCCTCCTCCATTCTACAAATTCGTCTTCTTCTCTACCACATTATCATCACCAAATTTCTTGCTTGGATTGGAGCTTGTTTGGAGTTAAAGATGCAAGGCTAGATCACTTAAAATCCAAGGGGCAAAGTGGCTGTGCATGAGTCTTTTATCTTTAAGGAGGCTAAGCAATTTTAATCCTAGTTTTCTTTTCTATTTTAGGTGCAATTTTCCTAAATTTCTTAATTTGGTTTGGAAGATTGTAACTAATGTCCTTTAAGTGTTTAATAAAATGCTTGAAACATTTGATTGAGAAGAACTTGTATTTTGACTATTGGAATGTTGGATTCTTTGTTAAAATTTTGATCTTTATTGTTATATTCACATGCTTGCCTTGTTTTAGAATTGGTCCAATGTATTAAATGGATTGATTGCATAGTTAAATCATTGAAAACTTGATTTGGATTTAATCAATTATTTAATTTCAAATTAGGTACTGTTTGTGGCTATTTTTAATAAGTCCAATGGCAACTTACACATTAGGAGTTTAATGAAGCAAGTATAATTTATCATATGATTGCTAAAATTTTAAGATTACATGATAACTATGTTTGCTAGATTCAAATGGTTGTTTAGGCTATATAAGACTAATAAGAATGAAAGCTCAACCAATTAAATATTTGTGACAAGGATTGCATTTCACTAAACTCCAAGGAATCAACCATCCTTAATTGAACACATTTATTCATTTTTTCTATAGAAACGGAAAATCACAAAATACTAATTTAGGTTAATTTTAATTGCTTTTTTTGGTGATTGAATCAAAACTCTTTGTCACTGTTTATTCACTTAGGAATTAGTTTTAAAATCAATTTCAATTTAACTTGTTGGGAAAAATGATCCACATTGCACCTTATACATATTTAGGTTTTAGTTTAGTTAGTTTGAGGCCGATATAACGTTGGCTTATCACAAGTTCAACTAGTGAGTTCACTTTTTTATACCATGATCTTGGGCCCAATGAAAAAGAGTAGAAGAAAACTAAAAAAGAAAGAAAGATAGAAAAAAACATTCAGGAAATGCCTTAAATTCAAAGAATGTTTATAACCAACAAGCAATGGCTAAGCCACATATAAGTGACGATGGGCATGTGAAAATTACATATAATGGATATAAGATTTTATATTTTACACCTTATCTTTTTAATATTTTGAATATCAAATCTATTTGATTCTTTCTCTAAATTCGAATCCAAATTTTTCGACTTTTTAACTCAAAGTTTTGTAATATAATACTTCATATAATTGACTTTTTAATTATTCAATTATTTCTGAAGTTGTTATTTTTTTTTAAAAGAAAATTGCCCACAAGGCCACTGGTTCCGTCACTGCCAACGAGGTCATTATATTGGCTGGAAGATTTAACCCCACAAGCTTGTGATTATGGTCAAAATTCTTATTAACCGGACCCATCTTTGTCCGGAGGATTGCATGTTGAGATCGTGATTGATTGGGATCATTCTCTCGATTGTACCCGGACACCTCACAGAATTCTTGTTATCGTTCTCATTAACCATGCTTAGACTACGAGGTGTTCAAATTTGACCTCTAATGATCAAGTGTTCAACCCATCGCACTGGATTTTATACAATTTATTTGCCGCTACCACGGGTTGGTAGATTTTAGCCTCACGTACTAAATGATGTAAAAATCAAATATTTTAACAGATTGTTAAAAGCCTTGAAAGAGCAGCTTACAACCTGGCAAGCATCAACCTCCATCTAGGTCAGAAGAATAAATAAACAATATGAATCTGAAATCATCATTGTTCAGCTAAAAACTACCTGAAGCTAGATATGTCATTTACAAGTGTAAGAATGAAACAGAGGGATCATCAACTCAATTTTGCAGAGCTATTGCTACCCATAACTTCAGATTTCAGCTTGTTTTGCACCTCCAATCGCCTTTATCAATAGCCCAAAAACTAATTATAAAGCTGTATATACTACTGCTTGTTACTGTCAAATGAGATTTCTTGCTGACAAAGCTTTCTATTGTTCTGGACATCATACGAGGATGATTTATCACTTGTGAGTCGCATTTTCTTCCTGTAACAAGACTGATAATACAACCAATTAATCAGCATTGTCAATAAGCAGCACACTTGCAGGGTCAGAGGGCCCATTCTCACTCTGCAGTACTTTTCCTTTCCATTTCATATGACCTGTTATTCTCTTTACTCTGGCAATGATGTCTGTATGATCTCTGATAATAACAGTTCCTCCAGGGCGAAGAATGCGATGCATCTCAAGAAGTATATAAGCAATGTCGCACCTGTCAATTGACATCAACATTAATGAACGTATCAGAAAGAAGTTACATGGATATCTTCATTGGTTAACCGATTGTTCTAATCATGCATTACCATGAGAGAACTGTGAGCATTAGAAATTGTAAACAGGCTCAAACAATCTGTTGAAATATGAAACTTACTTGTCCATGTACATACTGAATATGCCAGAAGCGTGTATCAAGTCATATGTTCGAGGGTATGTAGAAAAGGGTTCACACCTGCAAACATGGAAAAAATTAATAATTCCATTTTCCAACTCTAAGAATATATACTCAGATAATATGAACTAACACATGGGAGAGTCAAAATGAATCATGAATCAGCCATTGTGATGTCCACAAGAGGGAAAAAATAAAGTTCAGTAGGGCTGTAGGAAGTACATCAAGGAAAAATGAAAACGAAATAAAAAAAAAAACTTCATTCTTGTCACTAATTTAATTAGCTTGTTCTTAAGTATTGGTCACAAGGAACAACAATGTCATGGCCTAACACAACAATATATTTTATTTTCATAACTTACCATCTGGAATGACAGTACTATAATTCACCATAAGACTCCGTATAAGCATTTAGCTTTCTTAGTGGTCAAAAGGAATAACAATGTCATGGCCTAACACAATAATATATTTTATTTTCAAAACTTACCATTTGGAATGACAGTACTATAATTCACCATAAGACTCCGTCTAAGCGTTTAGCTAACTTAACTTTATACGATTTCTAAAACATCCTAGATTTGCAATTATCTCAGCAACAAAATACGTATTTAAAACTCTGCCTTGCATGGACGAAGATTTTCCAGCGTGATTTTATGACAAACTGTAGAAAGCATACTTCAACAAACTAACTAAATTAAGGAAGTACAGCTAATTAAGAAGCTGTTTATACCAATCCATGTAAGTTCCAATCAGGCCGCGCTCATAGACAACACCAAGATTGCCGTGTGTTGCATCAAAGGGAACAACATTCATAACCCAAACTGGGTGTTCCACCATTGCAGCTGCAAATCCTCCTAAGTCGGCGTTCATATCCATAACATTTCGATACTCACCAGAAGAGAAAGATTTCAGCATGGATTTGTAATACAATAGTCTCCTTTTCCATGTCTGTGTATCTTCATCAAAGTCTCTGACTCTGATCCCATCATTAGCTTCATTCTTAATTCTAGGTGAAGCAGTGTTTAACCTTGCAGGCCATTTCTCAAGAGCACCACCAGATACTTCACGAATATCATTCACGTCTGGAAGAGGAAAAATGCATGCAGTCATTTTTGTATACCTGTTGAATAATTCATTCCTATGAATCAAGGGTTTGAAAACATAGCACAAAGCTCTAAATCCCAAATTTAATGCAGTAAGGACGCTGAAAAGAAAAATGCAAAGTATGAAATTTAGGTGTGACTTGTAAATATTTCTCTATCAAATTTTCTAATTAAAAGTGATGACCATGACAAGCAAGAAGTGTTTACTACTCAACACTAATTGATTGGGCTTTTTAAGTTTTAAAAAATGCTTTTCCAAGTGATGTTTCTTTTGAAAACCTGATAACAAATAGTACCTAATTAATAAACTTCAGTTGAGTTTTTATACATATAAGAAAACTCAATGTGCAGAAAATTAGCTGAACGGAGGATTTCCAATTTTTCCATGTCATCGTCCCTATTCCAAGAATACAGTAACTTGAAATAAAGAAACTTACCAACCAGCATCAGCATCAGTAGAGTTGCAGAAAGCAGGGGATGGCCATATCCTCTTCACTTGGATGCAGTGGACATGATTGGTGGGTTTTTGCCACACTGCAAAACCATCTCTCTCAGCAACTTTTTTCCAGCACATCCTCTTAGCAAGGTCTTCCAAAATGTTCTGTTCCCTTTCAAAAAACTCAGGCTCTCTCTGCCACGCTCTGTAGTTTTCTCTCCAATTTATGGGTGGTCCAGACAGTACCCAATAACCCCCAGGGCGCAAAAGCCGGTCAATCTCTAAGAGATATAGCCCATCTATGATGAATTAAATATCAAAGTATCAGACATCACAAGGCTTGATAACATAGTTAAATCTAATAAGATTCTGTTCAAGCAATAAATACCATAAGCAGCCCATTGGACAAGGCATCTGGAGCAGTGAGCCATATCAAATGATCTTGAAGGGAATGGTAGCCTGTGAACGCTTAGTACTCCAAGCAAGGCCGGAAGTCCCCTTTCTAAGGCAAACTGAACTTGTGCTTCATGTTCATCACTTGGGGCAACTGACATTGTCAAGATATTGTAGTCCATTAACGATGCTCCAAAGCTTGCAACCTGTAATCAGGCACATCCAATATACAAATAGAATAAATCTAAAACCTAATCAAATGCTAAGGCTTCATGTGGCAAAACCATAGAAATAGAATCCTCGATATGAAACAAAAAGAGTAAGCAACAATAGAAGTCATATCTTCTATGTTTCTGCATATATATAAGTCATTCCTTCGCCATATCTGTTTTCTTCCCAGTCTAATTCACTTCATATGATTAATTGTATAAAGAAATTTCCAAATCTATGAGTGATAACAAGAACAAGCAACGTTATCGTTCTTTCAAGATTAGCTGGAATTTGAAGATACAGTAAGTTATTAGGATGGAATATTAAATCGAATCAATAGTCATTAGGACAGGACAATTTTTTTGCTAAAGTACAAAAGTTGCACCACCACAAACCCCCCCCCCAAAAAATATTTTAGTTTAATATTCCTATATTCTGCCATTAGCAATCAACTCGATTGCTCTCCTCTCAAGTTCAAATTCTGAGTGTATATGATTGCGCATTGAGGTAGGTAGTTGTTGCGTGGATAAAGAAATTGTTTTGGCAAACGGGTAGTCGAAGAAATTTTTATATGTTATTCGAAACACCTCACATCCTCCTTCAGTTTCAATACTTCCACAAAGCCGTAAGAAACATATGAATAACAAGTGACTCGTTTTAATATAGTTTATATTGTCCTCATTTGTCAAAAGCGTGGAACCAAAAAGCTTCAATAAGAATCAAGAAGAATAAACAGCAATACAATCATTCAATGAATTTCTCTTAAATAACTATTTGTTTAAACTTCCCGATCCATTAAGGAATAACAACAATACGCAACCTTATCCTTCGCACACTCAACGAAATCAAAGGACGTAGAAGAAAGAAACGTAAAAATCAAATATATGGACTTGGAAAAGTTGTCCCAAAAAAAAATTGAAGAAGAAAACGCAGGACAGATAAGCCAAGCTTACCCCACAACCAACATCAAGAGCTGTTCGTATATCACCAGATTCCAAGGGCAGAATACGGTTCAGAGTATCAACATAACCCTTAACTCCTTCAGGAAACGAAGTGCCGCCACCGGGAAACGCAAAACGATCACCTTCCAATCTGACCCAATTCTGAGACTTTTTATATTCCGCAAGCTTGGGAAAAGGGACATTACTGAACCAAGCTGTGTCCTTACTCTCAGGCCATGTAAAAGGCTTTTGGTAATCCAATGGCTTAGGAATCAAACAGCGCAATCTTTCACTGATGTTTGGGCAATGACGCTCTTTACGAAACCACATGAAATTGGAGAACCGCTTTTGCCTGCGCGGATCCTGACAGGGGCAGTAATTTGTGTAGTTATCAGGGCAGAATTCGAAGTCAACCATTTCTAAGAATTGTTGAGGATGTTCTTCAGAAACACCAAGACTGAAAAAAACAACGTAGAAGAGGGAGCAGAGGATGAAGGCTAAGAAGATTCTGATGAAAGGTCGTCCGACAAAACTGGAAGCTAGAGATTGAAGGGGTATTAAGGTGGAAGCCATTGCTGTTGGGTGTTGAAGATTGATAGGGTTGTGCAGCGAAAACGCGGGAAAGAAATAGCTGTTTGGATTACTGTAACACTGTGGTTCTTGAACTCGTTGGTTGATGGGCCGGTACGTAAAAGCGGGTGGCTTCTTGAACGTAAGAATGGAAGAAAATGGAAGGAAGACGCACGCAAGCCAAGGGATGGTGCATTTTTATAGTGATGATGAGGTCTGTGATTGATTAGTGAAATAAAGAAAGAGGAGAGAGGTAGAAGATATATCGGTTGGTCGGAGGGAGAAAGATAAGGAAAATTGGCTGTTTGCTTTATAGAACAGTGGAGGTGTGAAGTGTCCTTGGGAGAATGAAATAAGGGTGCTACCTTTCACACGATATCATAAATATACTATATTAATTAAAAATTAAATTCTACGTCGAATATATTTTCCAAAAAAAAATATTTAGCTGAGGTATTATCGCAAAAACTTAAAAAGCGATTTTTCTTATAATCTTATACAATACATTAGTGGAGGAAATTAATATTAATATTAATAATTATATAAACGCTCAAAAGAGTCCTTTGATTTATCTGGTATTTATAGGCATAAGATTATACTCCCTCTAATTTTATTGATAGGGTAGAGAAAGAATAAATTTTTTAATTTTATTTATAAATCATGTTATTGAGCTTTCAATATAAGTTTTTTTTACTCTTCATTAGGTGTTAGAGAAAAAAATATATTATTAAAATATGTATATTTAATAAAGATAAAGTTTAAAATTTATTAAATTTTAAAATTTTTTTATATTAATAAAATATATTAAAAATAATTTATAAATAAAATTAGAGTATCTGACCAGCTGTATGTTTTTGATAAAAGAATCGTTCCTAAATTAAAAGCGTCTGCCTGTTACTGCAGAGCAGTCTGAAATTCAAATATTACTATAATAAAGTTTTGTCAGTCTCAGATGAAAAAAAATCATGAAGCGGACAAGACATGTGTGGGGTATTTAAAATTATGCAGAGGATGCATTTAAGTTATGAAAATAAATAAGAGGTGCGTGTGAGGAATAATAAAATTGAAAGCCTTAATGGCTGTTTGGATTGAGTGATTAATTGATTTTAGGGGCCAAAAAATTAATTAAAGCAAATTTATCCAAACACTAATTTTCTTTTAAAATTGATTCAGCTTCTGCGCTTCTGCGTTTTTTGTTTACAAAGTTATATGAAAAATTACATAAAAAGTCTAAAAAATTATAAAAAAGGCACAAAATTTAATAAAAATAAAATAAAACTCTCTTCTCTTTTTTAATAAAATTTAAACTTTATATTTTTAGAAAAATTACTAGCATAAATATAAAAATAGATTGCATTATAAAATAATTAATTATAATTAAAATTTATTATTGAATTAATTATTTTTATAATTTATTATATCTAATTAAAATTTAAACGAGTACTGTCTAAATGTGTATCGTAAACTCGGAAGGAGGGTTTGTGCTGGACAAATATAATTTCAAGGGCAGGCCGCAGGTGTGTCACGAAAGAAAGAAAGAAAAGTACAAATGATGTTACCCTGTAAGTACTTGGTAGCCTCACAGGTTGTGAACGGAATCCCAATTAATGTCATTTTGTTTTTCCTAGGCAATTAAGGCATTAATTGCTCATCCCTGGCATTTATAATTTATAATTACATAGTGCAAGCTGGTAAAAAAAAAAAATCCCACTTTCAAGATGAAATTTAAAAGTTTTTAACTTTTTTAAAAATACAAGATAAATTAGAGTAATTAGTATGGAAATTTTCGTCAAAGATCTATGGATTAGAGATAATAATAAAAAATTTAAATTTTTAAAACTTCATTGCAAGTTTTGAAAAATAAATTAAAATTAAAATTCATTAAAAATGATGAGATTGTCCCTGTTAAAAAAAATTTAATGAGAACAAGTGAACTTTAAATATATAGGGTGATAAACAAGTAAAGTATGATGATGAACAACAATTTGAAGAGTAATGAATAACATACATTAAAGACACAAATAAGTCATGCTAATATGAAAGAAATACTTAAAATTAATTTAAGTGAGAGTGTTGTAATGAACCAATGAAGTACAATTTGAAGGATAATCAACCACATATAACAAGGATATGAACAAGTTGTGCTAATATGAAAACAACATTTGAAATTGATTCAAGTAGAAGTATTATAATAAATAAGTGAAGTAAGATAATAAATAATAGTCTAAACTTTAATAGATAATGAAGCACGTATGGAAGGAACACAAAGAAGTTGTGTTGGGAAATTTTTATAAAGACAATCTTGTCATTTTTAAAAAAAATTTAATTTTAATTCAATACCTTTGACTTGTAGTGAAATTTTAAAAATTTAAATGTTTTATTTTTTATTACCTATAGTCCAAAGACCTGTAGTGAAATTTCTCTTAATTAATATGTTTTTAATTTTATCCTCTATTTATTTATTATCATTTGATCTGTTAACAATAATTTATTATAGCTATTAATAATTACCAAGAATGATATAATTCAAAAGTTACCATTTTTTTTTTTACATTTTCAAAGCCATGCTTAACATTTTTTAATAAGCATGAATTATATTAAGGATTGGAGTGGTACATACTTTCAGATCCTTAATATAAGATAAAGTTTGAAAGTTTTCTTGTCCTATATATCAGACAAAGCTAAGGATAATTAATTTTTTTAAATCTTTTTCTTTATTTATTGTTTATTATTTAAATTTCAGACAATAATTTATTATGGTCATTAATCACAAAGAAGGGTGGAAATTAAAATTTACAATTTTAAAATTATAACTGGCATTACTTAAAAAGTATAAAATTTGTCAACTTCCTCCTACATTAAGACCCCAAATAGCAACACAAATACATGAGTACTCCCTCCATCTTAATTTATAAAATATTTTTAAATAAAATCATACATATTAATAAAATTTATTAAATATAATTTACAATCTTATTTTTTTAAAATAAAAATATAAACTTTAAAAAATTTATTCATTTAATATTATATTCATAAAAACAAATTAAAGAGAAAATATAATGGAAGGGTAATTTTGGAAAGGGTAAACGATCAAATTAGCCCCTAAATTACAAGTCTAAAAGCATTTGAGATTTGAACTCATCTTTTATCTAATGTACTCTTTCAATTTTTGAATACAATACAATCTAATTAATAAAAATTAACTTTAACTATCAATTGATCAAGAGGAACCTCAAAAATTTCAAAAAAGATCACAAAAATAGCAGTAAAAGACTTAAAAATTATCAAAAAAAAAAACTTAAAAATTACAAAAAATGACTTTCCTTGGTCCTTTTCTCTAATTTTTTGTCAACTAATGGTTAAAACTAACTTTTATTAATGATAAAGGTCAAATTGTATTGTTTTTAAAAGTTGAAGGAAGGTGTTACATAAAAGATAAGTTCAAAATCCTAAACAATTTTAAGCTTACAATTTAGAAACTAAGTTGCTCATTTATCTTTTTGGAAAAGCATTATTAATAAAACATTATTACTGTCAAAATATTATATATTTTAAAAAGTTAAATTTATCTCAAAAATATCGAGACAGAAGACAATAGGTAATATGATGAAGCATGAGCTGAAGACCTTTCATCCCCCTGGCCAGAAAAAATAGCTGCAAAACTTTCTAGAATACAATTTTTAATTATTAGTATATATTTTTAATCAGCCAATTAAATGAGTTTAAATAATAGATTTTAATTTTAATAAAAATAAAGGTATTTAACTTTAAATACATTTGTTTCCAATCAAACGGTGACAGGTATGTTTTCTCAGGCATAGCTCAATTTTACAATTAACTTTTATTATTAGTATTTTAAACTATTTTTAAAATATATCTTCATTAGAAAAATTATATTGAGTTTAGGAGTTTAAATCTGAGTTTTCTCTATTTAAAAAAACTATATCCTGGATTTATTGTCGAAAATTTCACGAGAACTTGGATTTACCTTGATAATAAAGCAGGAATGCCAGCATGCCTCAGGCGGAAAAGATAAAAATTGACTCTCTCACTGTTTCTGCCTTTCGTTCTCTTCATCTGCACACAGTAGTCATTCTTCGAAGCATATGCTCATATAGTCATATGATCAGATCTATAAATTTGACCCCAAAAGAAAAAAAGATCAGATCTATAAAATGTTGCACTTCACTGTTAATTAAACAACCATGAAATAAACGAAAATAAAGAACTCTATAATTTTCTATAAACAAAATGAGGTAGTAATTGTTAAGTGTGTCTTGCTGATGGTCTTCTTTGTTGCTGGCCCTGATTCTTCGCTTAATAAATTAAATAAATATATTTTTGTAATATATTCTACACTTTAGAAGAGTAAATCGCACTGCTTTTTCAAAAAAGGTGAATTATCTCTAAAAAGTTGGTGCGATATATTGATTAATGCACAGAAAAAATTCTTAAATGGATCTAATGCAACATGTCATCCATAATTCATTCAATAAAATTTTATCTATACAGTCAAATAAAATTATGAGTTATTATTTTTAATAATTTTATTTTTATAATATAATGCCTATTTAATTTCTTATATTTTTTTCTTTACTACCATTATATTAAAATTAATTTATATTTAATATTACTTTACTAATATATTTTTATTGAATGGACAATAGATGATATGATGCATGGAATCTATCTAAGAATTCCTCAATGTGCATGCCGGGGGGCACAAAGCACATAATCAATTGCATACTCCTCCCATTTAAAAATGTAAAGTATTTTTTAAAAAATTAGATGTTAAAAAATATAAAGTATTTTTAATTTTTTGAGATATAATTATCATCTTTTTTTAAAAGTGTCCCTATTATTAATGACTTTATATTTATTGAATGATGTTTAATTAAAATAAATATAAAAAGATAGGACTAATTAAAAAGTATGTAAGTACTTTATTAAAGGGTAATATTGAGTTAAAAATACTTTATATTTTAAAAGAAGGCAGTATATTTTTAAAATCAAGTTTCAATATAATACATTTCCAATCCCATGCCTTATACATTGGTTCCATTTTTTTTTTTTAATACTCCATCTAACAATAACTATGGACCAATATTAATACCCGCACATATAATATGTAAAAAACTGTCTTACCTCATAAATTGCACTCAATTAATACGCTGCACGAGAAACAATTAATATGATGTTAATTTATATACATTGATTGATTGGTAATGGATGGTATGTGACTTCCATCGTTATTCTAGTGACCCAAAAAGAAATAATCCCAGCCTTC